CTTATTTATATTTGCCAAAAGCGACAGATTTCCTTTGGAATTTCAGGGGTTAGATCACCCCAATTTGGGAGATCCATGGATGTGATATTTGCCCTAGTGCTCCCTTTGAAACTTGTTTACAATAGATATGACTTTGGGCTGAAGACCAGTGACGATGTGGTTCCATAACTCAAATGTACAGTAGGAGGAAGATCGAGGCATAATTTTGTTCATGATAAGTCCGGGAGTCGCCAATTAGGTTGCTTCTTTGGAACCCAAGCTCAAAAATGAGGGAAAAAAAAGTTGTACAAATATAAATCTGTCACTCATCAACCATCAAATAATATTTATGGCCTGAGAACCAGTTGGATTTTTGTATTCTCCTCCCAGCAGATGATTTTGTTTCAGATAATAGGATTTTGGTTTAAAAAAAATGCATGCCTCATAATCAAGGAAAATATCTCATTACATTTGCCCCATTTATGGAGAAAAGAAAATTGCTTTTGTAGTATGGATGAATGATCTTAGAAGTTAAAAACAAATTTGAAATAAACTTGGGAATTGGGTATGAAAATGAAACAAAATCATGCTCGTGATCATCCATGAATATTACACTATAATGGATCTTTATTTGATTCATTTTTAGTGGTGTTTTATCTTTATATATTGATTTGTCTCCATTGAGTTTATGTCAAAGTAAATCAAAGATGCCACAAACTTGAATATTTGTTATATTAATTAATATGAATAATTGCTGTTATTACAGTGATAATAATTGGATATGAGACCTGAAACATATTATATGATCCAAGTCATGTTGGGTTGGAAGTAAAATGAAATAGATGGGTAAAGGAGGATGTAGAGTGTTCAGCAGATACACATGTATAAGAAGGGATGAAACAATGACACAAAGGGGTAAACAGATGATGGATGGAGAGGGGTGAAATATGATTTAGATTAGTAAACAATAGACTTAGAGGGGTGGGGGTGCGGTAACGAGTTTACAGGTCGGTAGAGAAAGTATTAAGAGTGTTCAAACTATGATTTACATGTATTTAGGAAAAAGATGATCAACCAGGTTAAGCGTTGGTCACAACTCACCGTGCATGTTTTTAGTCTGTACGGTTTTGGGGGAGGCCATGGCCGCCATGTTTTTCTGAAAATGTAGGGAGGGAGTACCAGCAACGCACGTCACATGCACGGTGTAAGTAAGTGGTCCGCACGCTATGCCTGGCCGTGAGCGGTTGCGTGCATCGTACGTTGCGCACGTGGTAAGTGCGTTGTACGTGCCTACAATGTACGGTCTCCGTGCGGTTGCCACGTTATCATACGGAGGCCGTACTTACTCGTGCTGCTCACGTACGGTGTCCTTACTCACTCGCACGTGCGATGAACTCGGTGAGTTTTTCCGCCCGATGTTGGGGTATATATAGATCAATATTCCGATGTTCTCCAGAAGTCCCAGCTGCTGCTGCCTCAAGATGCCGCCCATTCCCCCACAGAGTCTATATACTGCATAAATCAGTGCGCACAACGTGCGTTGTAAGTCCGGAGCACGTGCTTACTCGGTACGGCCCACATTAGTTTTGCGTGCTCATTGGACAGTTGAACTGGGGAAGTGGCGAGTAAGCACGGACCACGCAATTATCACGTGCCAAGCACGCACATGCTAAGTGCGCCTTCCGTAGAGCAAGTGACCTAGGGAAACAAATTTAAAAGACGCACGGAGTCAGTGCGCTGTGCGCTCGTTGGCAGTACCAGGCACGCACGTCACATGCACTGGGGGTGAATCGGTAGCCCGACCGCAGCCCGAACGCAGTGAAAGTTCGTCGTGCACTAAAAGTGCCACGGTGTGTCTGCATGCTCCCGAATCCATACGGAGGCGGTACTCAACATGTACGGATACCCAAATTTTGCACGTAGACAGCACGCACTTGCAAGTATGGCGGGTTGTGACCGCATTATGGAGATGAATTGGAGGAGGTAGAAAGATTTTTTTTTCCTTCGGGAGTGGGGGGGGGGGGGCAAGGAAGAAAAGATGGATATAAGTGGGTATATACAATGTATATAAACAGGTGAAGAATGAGATGATAGGAAGAAAAAATGAAGATTTGTGAAAGCAGACCCATTTTGTAGGTCTATGTAAATGATCCTGACAAATCGGTTGGAAAGGATACCCAATTTGGTCCTAGTCATAGCATGTCTACATGTTTTCATCACCCACTTGCCTAACCATGTCATCTCTGGACGAATGCAAGCATCTAAGATTACAGGATGAGAATTAGATCTTATTTCTAAGTTTATGCCTTCTGTAGAGTGATTAGAATGAAATGATCTTGGGTCTCGGAGTTATGATTGGGCTGGATCTTAAGTTTTTCCCTCTGTAATTAGAGTCGGTTGGAATTCCACGTTGCTTCACCCCAATCATAGCTCTATTAGCCCCATAACTGGTCCTGGTAATTGAGCGGGGTCTGGTTACCCTTGCCAGGCCTTCTCATTCTTGTAACAACTTTGGGGATTTCTGAAAGTTTGATGGTCGTTGTTTTTCAACAGGTATGATTGGGGATGTCAGCTAGGATGAAAGTGATCAGAGGATAGCATAGTCAAGATGAGAGAATAAAAGAAATGTTATATTTGATACATTTGTTTGTGTCGGTTAAATGTCGAAAATTGTTTTTGAAGCAGTTTCAGATGGAGCGTGGAGGGATAGTGATGATAAAAAAGGGTCCCTAGAATTCAGTCTAGGTTTCTTACGATTCCAATTTGCTTTTAAATAAATTGATTATTCATGTAAAGGGATACATGTACACATACATGTATTTTATGGAGCTGACAGTGAAACTTCAAACTTATATTAGGGTATCCAGCATTTGGTGCTTCTGATGTTCATCGTGGTATACACTCCCCCTATCATACTTCAAATATAATAAAGGAAACAAGACCAAAATTGATTTAGAATTATAAGTTAAGTCAGGTATTGTAAAAGATCAAATATTAATTTATGATGAAAGAGTTGGCTCCAGCAAAATCCTTACTTTCATATTATGCTCCAGTTGCCTAACGGACCACACAGAAACTCTGGGATATTGTGGAGGAAAAATGAGAAAGTAGGTCAGAAATTTTTTAATTTCACAGATCATATATTTCCAAATCATTTTCTGTAGAGGTGACATTGTCCCAAATTACATTGACATTGTTGGAGTTGACATGGTTTTTCTATGGAATAGTTTATGGTGGGCAAAGATTAGTTATGAATAGTGAGGTCTCTCCTGGGATTATGGTGCACTTTGTATCGTCTTGTAGACTTGTATACACAATGCGGGATAATCAGAATGAGACTAACTCAAGCTAGGTTTGCACGGCACTGTCATAGTTTAGAAGTTTAATGCCCTAAATTCACCATAATTTGGGTTTTTCTGTTTAATCTGTTATACACAGAAAACCTAAATTTTGTATTCTTTCATCAACATTCGACTTCAAACACAAAATGCGTCAGCTATCCGCATGGTCCTTAAACTACAATATACTCCCAAAGTTTAAAATCACAAGCTATTAAACCCCAAAGCTCTTGTCTGAACATAGCCTCAACGTCCCTACCAGTCTTGTAGAATGTACATGAGGTTACTGTTGACATTGGCATCATAAATTGTATGAGTTGTGTTTGATATAAGCCGTTTATGTTATGTCTGTGAAGATATTAAAGATACTATGTCCCTTTTGCAGCCAACCTCAAATTCTGTATAACTTTGCAGGAATTATGAATAAGTCATGTATGTCCTATCTGTGAAATTTAAACGTTAGCAGTGTCCTAATATTCAAATTATGCAAGGAAACCCGTTTACTTGCTAGACTTCACTGTCAGACTATTGAGTGAGTGACAGGCTTTTTTTCTTCTTTGGTAATAACATACATAAAATGAGCTGTAAATGGTACATGAGCATTTGTTTACATCAATAACCCACTTCTTGTAATGGCCAAAATTAAATTGATTGAATCTTTGCACAGCATAAAACATACGACCATTCAGTACAATGGTCTGAAAATCAAGACCATCAAGACTGGCTCTATAGCTCCTCAGTCGATTCGACAACTAAAAGTCGTTATTTTCCCACTTAAAGACATTTTCAAGCCCCCCTTTCTTTAGGGAAGTTCTAAATTAGTATTATCTTTCAAATGCTGTTGAAATTTAACCTTTTCATTTTTTTGGCCTGCAAATGGGACATAGTACCTTTAAAGGTAAACTACAGTGGTTGTAAATAGGCCCTGGTAAATACTAACAGTTCGAACTGTCTGCATACATATATGTGGGAAGGTAAATGTTTGGTTAAAAATTTATGTGGTTTCAAGTTGACAATCATGTCGATGACTTTTATTTTATTTTTCAAAAATTGATCCCATTCTAGAACTTTTTATAGCATTTGGGTGTTTAGTACATTGGGTTCGCTTCTGAGCAATCTATTGGTGAAGTGTTGGGGTGATCCGAGAGTGAAAGAAAAGGGACATTCACAGAAAGTTTGCAGGAGGGGTAATTCAATAAATCACAAATTTGTGAACTACATATTCAGAAACGTATATTTCTATTCTGTAAGCCAGGTTTACTTTTTTTAGTTTGGGGTCAAATAATTTTATAAAATGTTCAACTGAAGGAATTTCACTATATCTCAATTACCGGTATCAAAACTAATGTGCTCCTGTACTCTTCACTGAATTCTAGGTGTTTCAATCATATATCATTACTAATCAGTAAATGAAATATATAATATTTGTGCAAGCACTAGTTAATTATAATATCACTTAATATATTGGAAACCTGCTCCAAAATGACATATGCAATTGTCAAATAAATTAGAAATCTATTCAGATTCTTAATGTATCTTGCAGTTGATGACAGATAATTAAGTTATTTGATAAAATACTAATTTATTCAAATATTAATAATCTTTATTCATTCTCTCTCTCTCTCTCTCTCTCTCTCTCTCTCTTTCTCTCCCTCACTCTCTCTCATCCTCTTTCTCTTCCAGGAAAGTGATAATCTCTGGTGGGATGCCTTTGCCACAGAATTTTTTGAAGATGATGCAACACTCACCCTGTGCTTCTGCCTTGAAGATGGTCCAAAGAGATATAGTAAGTATAACGGTTTGAAGAGATATAGTAAGCAAATATTAATCGACTACGAGGGTAATGGTGCAAACTATCATCACCGAGGGGATGATAATTTGTTTCCATTGCCCGAGTAAAGGAGGTTAATATTTGTTTTATATCCCACATCGGCAACAAGGTCTATTTAAAGTGAATTTTACATAATAATAAGAACTGATTCTGCAGACAGTTTAGCTTCAGCTAGATTTTACAAAGCGCAACATGCATACATGTTATACAGTCGATGCGCGCTCATTTGACATTGACATTGACTTGACATTTCGCGTAACCTACTTTGCTCTGCGTATTCAATGGGCAAGGGTGGGCAAGTGGGGTAGCAGCAAAAAATTACTTTACAAAAGTACTATCTCAGGTAGATAGTACTTATCTATACCTTTTTCGTGTTCTGTACAATCGCAATGCAAACAACTATACATGAGGGATATAATAAGTAATAAGGGTTGGAAGAGTGCTCCTTATAGAGAGAGATGGTAATGACAGTTAGAGCGAGGTTAGAAGTGATATTGTAAGTATGATGGCTGCTTAAACACTCTTTATAAATCTTAGAAAGAGATGTTTGAAGAAATACAGTAGGTTTTTCGTCTTTTTACTAGTCAATAAAATGAGAATTCATTTCATTTCATTTTTTGTAATATAAACACAGTAACTCTCGGCCTAAAGGGCTGTTTTTCAGAAAGTCTGTGTTAACTGAATAAAAAATATACAAATTATATCACAAACAAAAATCAGTAACAACAGATCGCAAAACATAAACATATGCATGATAAACTAATCAAATCAAACCAAAGGAAAACATAATTGGCATTGGAAACTATGAAGAATAACAAGAAGAAAGAAAAAAATGTATTATCATAATGTACAAAATACAAATCCCTATCATGTTAAAAAAAATTATAAGATGCATATACATGTAGCAGTTAATATTTACAAACAAGTCATCAGATATTGTATGGCCTGTGCGCTTGCTAACAACTTTCTCCCAGTGGAATGAAAATACTATTTCTGCCCACTTCTTGTTATTGATAAAATAAAAAATTATTTTGAAGTGCTTCGTTAGCATGCGTGGGAGTAATTCAGGGATTTTGTATCTTAAATTTTAAAAGCAGATTACACTGAATATAATTTCCCACTGATATTAATTTTAATTTATTCATTGAATAGGATTTTTCAAAAGTCCCTAAGGAACAAATGCATTAATTGAGGTGCAGAAACTTCTACTTTTATGGATGAAATGATTTGTTTTTGATAAGTCGTTACATCGAGGGATGAAAGTTTTATCCAACCAATTATTTTGTTTTGAAGTTCCTGCAACACTTTAACATATTAATATTATTTTTGCTACAGGTTTTGTTTCACTTTTTCCTTTTACCTTTATTATTGTAATGTTGTATCTACATGTATTCTAAGCCAAAAAGCTCTTCCTTATCAAATATTTAATATATGGAATCTTCAGTTTTCTTTAACAAGCTTGGAAATGATCATAACTTAAATAATTGTTATGAATTTAGGATAGGATTATGAGATTGTAGGATAAGGGATCATCACTATTTAATAAAGTAGAAAGAAAAATAATAATAATTGCACCATTTACCCATGTTTCAGCACGTCATATCTCTTTAGCCCAGCCTCTTTCTTAGAGGGGGAATTAGGATTTTTTGTGCATTTATTCTATCCTTCTTCTTGTATGAGTTGCACTCAGTTTAACAATGAGAAACAAGAATGTGTAGACTGTAAAATCTAAATAAAAGTGTCTATATGCAAGAGATGTTGCATTTATATAACACTGATACAGCTGTCTTGATGACTTAACAAATTTTGGCAAAATGAACTTTCATGGGCAGAGATCATGAATATCAATCTACATGTATGTGCAGTAGTTGAGACTTGGATGACAGCCGTGCATATCCAAACATGTACATTTTCATGTATGTAGATACATGAATTGAAAGGTTATTTCAAAATGCACGGATGTGCTTGTTTTGCATAATAGTTGTTTTGTCTTCTCAGCTGATGGATGCAGCATAGATTAGAAGACCTATTACTGGATTGGGTTATAAATAAATAATCCTGAATTGATAAACAAGTTACATATATCTTTTCCATCCTTCATATTTTCAAAGTCATCCATGGTTTATCGTATTGTAGAAATTGTTTATCTTCGATTCCATGTTGCGTGCCAGAATGGGAGATTGTTATCAGTACCAAGTCTGGGAAATCAATAACTTGATATAAAAAGAAAGGGTTACCCGGTACTCAAAACTGGGTGACAATTCCATCTGTGAAAGGGAATAAAATTTGACTTGTCTGACAATTTTCTTCCTGTTTGCCGAGTTTCACTTGCTCTTTTTACAGCCCTATGGTCTACCGCTGTTTCCCTTTTCCTAACAGGTTCACTCTCCTATTCCCAATGCAACACGCAGAGGTTGTAATGAAATGGTAGACCCAGGGCAAAGCAGGTGGGGGTTGGTGGGCACAGCCCCCTCTTTACACTTGAAAATGGTGGTGGGGGGGGGGGGGATGAGTTAAAATTGGGGGCCAATTCGTACCAGACATTGGTAGTGTGAATTCTTTTAATCCGTCATTAGCGTAACTGGAGATCAATTTTGTAGTAAATCAGGGAATGGTACGTAATACAAAATGACCTGAAAAGGTTGATACTACTATCCTTCCAACCTAATTTTATGTTGACATGTAAACCCAGGTTGCAGTTTAACAGGAAAGACATAACAATTAGAGCAAGCTGAAGTCAAAATGTCACCTTGCACCTTGAACACATGTATATTTAATAATGGTGGTATCCGCGATTCCTCACCAGTTTTGCAAATCAGTGTACGAGTATAGCCTTAAACATTGCCCGTAATACTGGATCACAAAAAATATTGACAAGATTTTTGTACCGATCAATGAGAGCTGCCATGTGTAGAATTATGTGGTACACTGTAATTTTAATGTTTATCCAATTATTGGCGCATTTATCGGGGCTTGCCACTAGATATGTACATGTACATATCGTACCCCACAATTGAACCCCACTATCATACCCCACTATACGATCGTGATTTGCGGGATGTCGCGTTTATCGTCCCTTCACGATTCAAAATAAAGGCCTTGTGTCTGCCCAGACAGTTTCTCGGAGGTCAACTTCACACACGTGCTTGTACACAACACCTGGGTGGTCCTATTTGTATGTGAGGTTCAAAACAGCTTTGCGTTTATCGATCTCTCAGAAACGTGATTCTGGCTGTATGTCACATACGAAACACACCTTTTTGCGTCTTTAGATATGCCCATATCTAAAGCCCTTTAAAAAAGGCTTTGCGTTTATCACCTTCTAAAGTTGCCTGAAAGACGTTTGAGAAACCTGATTCTAGCCAAAAATCTGGTCGATAAACGCAACCTATGTCTTTTCTACCTCTTCTTCTTCTCCTTCTTCTATTTTAAGCTTGATCTTGTGTGTCCTTTTCTTTTCAATGTCTTTTTCCATTTCCTTGTTGATATATTTGTGCAATGTTATTTATACTACCGTATGTATATTATTATGCATATTACTGTATCTTTTTCCAACCATTTTTCTATGTTTTCTAATCTATGTATAGCCTCTACATGTAGCTGCTATTTTGAATGTATGTGGTTTAATCAATAAACCAGTTCAAATCAAATCAAATCAAATCAATACTATCAAAAAATACTTGGTCATGATCATTCATACCTGCTAGAATGATTTATACATTGAATATTTCTGGAATATTTAGTTGTATCCACAATACAGATTATGCTGTAAGACAATGTACGTACATGTATATGTGAAGTGCCTTCATGTATGGAGAATATTTATACTATATGCATTGTTCTTTCGGAGGTTAAAATGTGTTCAAATTCTAGACGTAGGTTGTACTGTTTGATTATCATATCCGAGGAAAAGTTTGTGTAGAGGGGAATACCCTGCTAGCGAGTTCAATGGATTCAAGTACAAAGTATACATGACTCCTCCCCAAGTTTATACAATGGTTGACAGCTATTCTTAATGTTACATCAGCTTATTGAACTGTGTTTTCTCTGATTTCATGTTATGTCATTTATTTACTTATATCCCATATTATTGACTTATTAAAGGATAAAAGCAGTCTACTGTTAGTGTTATGTATAGAACAGGTGGAGAAAAAAATATTTTCTAAGAAAACAAGTGCTCACGATCATTGGTAGAAACCTGAAAGCACCATACATTTTTTGACACAGACCCCTTACTTTATCAAATTATTGTTGTTGGTGTTGTTATGTGACTAGCGTTTAACTGACAACTACTTTTTAATAAACACAAAGTAACACATTAGCTCACCATTTACTGAACATTTTTTTCTTTTCTCCCTTCTCTACAGCTATTGGACGAACACTTATCCCGCATTACATACAATTTTTATACAGATCAATTCTATCTTTATCAAATTATTATCATTAGTATTGACATGTGACTAGCCTTTTATAACATCTACTTTAAAAAAATGGAAAATAACATGTTAGCTCATTTATGTACTGAGATTTTTTCATTCTTTTCTCCCTTCTCTGCAGCTATTGGACGAACACTTATTCCGCGTTATTTCAGAACGGTGTTTGAAGGCGGTGTGACAGATCTCTACTATTTACTTAAGCATCCCAAGGAGTCATTCCACAATACGACGATCACGTTAGACTGCGAACAGACGACGATGGTCACGCATCACGGCAAACCAATGTTCACAAAGGTATAAATTCATGCTTCACACTCACTGATACATAACAATTCGATTTAATTTTCAATTCAGCATTTATTCAATTCCATAATAAAAACAGTAACATCAACATACAGTAAATATAATAGAAGTACTACTTATACATTTTGGTTGCATTTATTTAAATAGTAAAATATTGACAGTAAAAAGAAATAGGAATTTGGTTGCTGTATAAAAGCCCTAGTGGGTTCGTCTAGACAGCCACCATGAACAGTAAAATTAATAAAATAATCCTACAAAATGATATATGAATAAACAATGACAAAAACAACAACAAAACAAGATATGAAAAGAGAGATAAAGAAAGAGAAACCAGTGGCATGGCATGATTATTACACATATACATTATTGTTTATTTCACATGTATCTGGTATTCTGTATTAGCAAAGGCCACATCAAATTGTTATCACATTTAAACAGTATAATTAAACAATCATCAACAAGTAATCATGAACAAGGAAAAAACAATTTCGGGTAATGGAGCTGGGATGCCAAGTTGGGGCTGGTTTTATATTACCAATGACCATATTGATAATTAAAAGAGTATAGATTGGTCTCCTGCACTATAAAGCTTGAATCTACCAATTGAATCTTCAATGCGTAACATTGTTCAGACCGTTTAAATGGAAGTACTTGTAGTTTAGAAAGGAATTTCAGTTTTACAGCAGAATTGAAATAAATATCATGCATCACTGAATATAAAGTAGCTAAACACATTTATGAATTCATATCAAAGTTTGCTTTAAGACCCTACTGACTCTACAGATCCATTTTAAGACAGATAAACAAATTAATTCATAAACAACAATTTAAAGAAAAGAAGGAAGAAATACAGCAAGCAAACAAGCCTTCATCCTATTGTTCTGTAACCCTTCTAGCAAGTCTTTGTCTGCCTAAGGAAAATAGTGACAGACAAAAACAATAGTAAATAGCCTCGCACAGAAAAAAACTCTGGAAAGAATTGACCAAGAAGAATAGTAAACATACATCTCACCAAAGGAAGCCCTAGTTTGGTGAGAGAGGAAACTTGAGCGTGTTATCAACGTCTATATCAAAGCTAAAACATCCTGTAGAGCCGGCATGGAAAGAGTTTGAAATGTGAGGGGCTAACATCGTGGCAGGAATCTGAGCGACGGATTTGGGCCTACGATAACGGTCTAGCAAATCAAAGTGAGAGACGAGAGGGATAGAGTGAGAGAAAGGGAGAGGAAATGCTGACAAGATTTCCTCAATCATAGCGTGTGATGGCAGGGGAGATAAAGATGAGTGAAGTTCCAGATATTAGACTTGTTTTTGATTGCAGGAATGTTTTTTTCTGTGGCTCATATTTTAACTTAACATTTTCTCTCATTGCATCAATATTTCAAAGGAACGCTCACAAATAGAAAAGTTGTAAAATCAAGTTTACAAGTTTTCAAGTTTCATTTATTTCTTCTCAAGAGATTAACAGATAAAAAATACAAACCTAAAGTCCAGAAAAATGTATGACAATACATAAGATGAGGAAGGCAGTGGCCTAAAAGGAAATAAACCTTGTAAGAGGCCAACCCGTTAAGAAAACAAAATATAATATGTAACATAAAAACACTTTAAAAAGGAACAAATTATATATGTGAGTCTTTGGCAGTGCAATATTAAGGAGGAGAGCACTCACTGCTGGGATGTGGGGCATGCATGTACGTTTACTTTGTCTTGTACAGTAATAAGTTAGGATGAAGACAGAATATTAGAGATATTATTTGAAGGAAAAAATATCAACAATGCTTCAATATGTTATTATGAACTACATGCGGGCTTGATGAGGTATCTAATTGGTAGTGGAATTAAAATGCGACAGTCTGATATATGAATTCAAAATTCAAACATTCTTTTGAAAATGGATATGTCCGTCCTTGATCTTTATCATTTCACTTTGGCATTTTTACCTCTGACATTTTTACATCTGGCATTTTTACATCTGACATTTTTACCACTGACAATTTTACCTCTGGCATTTTTACCTTTGGCATTTTTACTTCTGACAGTATGTTTACCACTGACAATTTTACCACTGACAATTTTACCTCTGGCATTTTTACCTTTGGCATTTTTACTTCTGACATGTTTACCACTGACAATTTTACCTACTGGCATTTTTACCCTATGGCACTTTTACCTCTGACATTTTTACCTGGCACCAATACAGAAAGCTGTCTGGTTGATTTGATGATCATGTATTTGAATACCGAACATTGGGCCCTTTATCCACAAAGATGTGAGCTATACAAGAGAGCTATCTGGTATTGCAGAATGCATTTTAAAACTATACAATATGTGATTAAAGATGGATATTGCTTTAAAAATTCTTTCTTTGATATAGGTTTGTACAGAAGGCCGTCTGGTGGTGGAGTTCACATTTGACGATCTGATGCGGATCAGGTCATGGTACTTCGACATTCGGCAGCATAGAGAACTCATTCCAAGAAGCGTCATAAATATTCAGGTATGAACAGGCCCATGAACCACTATTTCTTGAGGGAGGAAGCCACAGATATCATTGTTGATCTGTACAGCACCTTCAGAATTAAGGCTCCGTCTGACTTAAGATTATTAACTGCTTTGATAGGAACAGAGAAAATGATGAAGCTGAATAAAATACTGGCAGATTAGTGGGTATGCCATTGTTGTATTGTTGTCTGCAGCTTTTATCTTTGGTTCCATCTCAACAGCGATGCCTTTTGCCATTCATGTTTCATGTTTCTAAGATGGTTTTGATGGCGAAATTATCCCCTACAATTTAGGCCTCACTTTTTCTCAAGAATTGAATAATACATTCTAATTTTGATAGGGTACAGGGGTATAAATTTATGAAAACAATCTAATACTCTTCATATCTTAGCTGTTAAAGTAAAAAATAGCACAAGGAATTGCAAACTTTCTATGATGTCTAAATATCTCTAAAAACGGCCGAAAGTCCTTCTCTTAGTGCTAACTCATTGAATGAGCAAATAAAAAAATATATTGTTGTATTTCCTTTATCGTTCTTATGAGTTTGTTTCTGAAGGGAATTGATGCAGCCTTTAACATGAAGGCGCGATTATCTTGCACATGTATCTTTCTTTCTTCACTTCCTCAATCTGCATTGGCATTCCCACCTCTCTATTTCTTTGCACCCACAAAATTTTCTTATTTTCAATTTACCTCCTGAAATGTATTTGAATTTTATACTTTTAATTATGATGATCCAAACATTGTCTGCATGTATGTCCCATTTGGATGTTTGATTTTTTCTTGTTGTCTGGATAAAATTGTTGAATATGAATTGATTACCATCTGGTCTTTTTTTTTACGTCTATTTTTGTTTTGTCAAACTTTGTCTTTTGAAATCATCTTGTCCTATTATTTTTGTTCTTATCTGTGCTGTGTCAATCTTTTTCTCTCTCTGTGTCTGTCTGTCTCTCTCTCTCCTCTCTCTCTCTCTCTCTCCTTTTTTCTTTCTCTCTTCTTCTCTCTCTCTCTCTCTGTCTCTCCCTGTCCCCCTTCTTTTCTTTTTTGTTTCTCATATCTGTTTCTTTCATCCCGAATACCTTCATTGCTCTGTCTCTTGTCTCTCTCTCTCTATATATCTCCCCCTCTCTATCTCCCCTCTCTGTCTCTCCGTCTCTCACTCTCTGTTTCTCTCTCCTTCTCTCCCTCTCTCTTATTTTCTTTTGTGTTTCTCATATCTGTATCATTCATATTGAACGCCTTCATTGCTCTGTCTCTTGTCTTTCTTTTCACTCTGTTATCTTCTCTTTTCATGCCTTGGTGTTAACTGACTCTCTTTCACAACATTGGAACTTAAAAACAAATTCTCTTCACTTCCTGTCTCATTACGTTTCATGCCTTCTTTCTTCTGAATTACATCATACATTAATTTCACTTTCCTGCATGCTTCCGTCTCTCAATTTCTACAACTTCCACATGCGGGCTTCCTAAAATCCTTCCATATTAAATCATTAATGTGCATTTGACCTTTCCCAACCGTTGCTGTTTTTGGAACGTTTGATCCAACTTTTGTAATTACTTAATTATCCGTATCCACACAACCTGTCTTTACAATGATCACACCTCTACTTCTTACTTGCTCTTACCTTTTATATTTCTTCATGTCTGTCCTTGTCACTTTTACTTTACTTGATATGTGTGTCCTTCTCTGTCGGGTGGCTCCGGTGCTCCCTTTCATCATCTTCTTGCTCTTACCCGACATTCTTCATGATCTCTCAATCTTGTGTATTTTCCCTGTTTTGTGTTGATGTTTTGTACATTATTTTCACTTTTATTTTGTGATTATTGGTGTGATTTTTTTTTGTGACCTACCAAATGGCCCCCTCCCTTTCCTTTCTTCCTTCCTCTATTCCACCCTGTAATCCCTTCTGCAATGCTCGACATTCCTACCTCTTCCCTTTTACCTCTGCCCTTCTCCTCACCCTCTTGTCCTTGCTCACTCTCTCCCCTTTTCTATCACCCCTACTCCTCATTCCTTCTTCATCTTCCCCTCCCTGTTTTCAATCATCCCTTCTCCATCTCTTATCACCTGTTCCCTTACTCCTCCCCACCCCACCTCATCCTCTTCACCCCTCCCCTAACCCATCCCTCTTGGGTTTGAATCACCCCCCCCCCCTAAACCCCCCAACTTCATTACCTCCCTACCTGCCCCATGCCAATGAATTTGCCCCCACCCCGCCCCTATTATGGGTTTGCTTCCCGCCTTGCTGACACCCTTTTAGTACCATTCACAGGACCCTACGATGCTGGAACAGCTTTCTAAGAACATCACCCGACAGGGTCTAACTAGCTGTACTCTCAACTACCTCAGGGTGAGTCCAAAATCTCTAAAAACCTTACAGAAAGAAACTAAAGATTCTTCAGAGCTCTTGCAGGTTGGATAGTAAAATGATTGCAAAATTTCACAACAACAGGAACATAATATTGCATAGACTATCACATATAATAAATAAGGGCAAGTCCAGGCTACTTTGTCCCATATGCTATTGTCACATCTAAGACACCAGTATACATGTATTTGATGACTGTATCAAGCTGATAGCCCTGCTTGAGCTTGAATCAGACAAAACAGGAAGTAAATTCATATTTTCATGTCAATTTATATATTCACAAATACATAGTACGATTCTATATATACTTGCTGGGCCCCGTCTTACAAAGAGTTTATATCAATCGCACCTTATTTGTGATTGATATCAAGTGCAGCTATGTACATAAGAGAAAGGAACCTGCAAACTTGCGATTGATTGAAGGACTTGCGATTGATTTTGGTCAATCACAACTCTTTGTAAGACAGGGCCCTCCCTGGTAACAGATGGAACATACCCAGGACTTGCATATCGACGATAGTATATTTATTTATTTAGAAAATAAACTTGTTAAAAAGTCTCAAATTCAAAGGAAGAAAGGAATGGGTCATAATTACAGGGTGTGCTGTGTAAACTATGTGAATTTTAGTCATAAACAATTGATAGACTGTTTCAATTCCTCACTCATTTATTCTCTGTTAATCTGTCTTAAAGATTGAATTACCCACCTGCAAAGTATGATTGGAGTTCCCTTTCACATTCGTTCTTGTCTTTGGTACAGTCAAACCTGCTTTAGTGACCACCAGTCTACAATGACCACATTTTTTGTTTCCTTTGAAAATGATTTCTTGTTGAAACATGTACTGCAGAAACCTGTACCGGTATTTGAAGACCACTTTTTGTGTTTCCCTTGGGCTGTCGCTATAGACAGGTTTGACTGTACTAGAATATCTACCTTTTCTTTGCATCTCAATATACATAGATGTCAAAAAATAAATATTCTTTATTTCCTCCTCTCTCTCCCACCTCCTTTCATCATCTCTGTTCCATCCATCCATCTCGTGTGATGTCCTTCATCCATCAGCTGTGTGTGATCCTGGAGCCGATGCAGGAGCTGATGTCACGACACAAGGTGTACAGCCTCAGCCCTCGTGATTGCCTCAAGGCCACCTTGTTCCAGAAATGGCAACGTATAGTCACACCTCCCGGTAACGTATCCCCGTGGCAACCTGTCAAAATGGAACCAAAATATTTTTTCACCATCCACAAACAAAACAAAGAGAACAATTCAAATCAGAGTTTGTGTAGGAAACATGGAATAGTCATTTATTATTTTCTTTTCTTTATTTCCCCCCTTTATGAATAGAGAATGCCTCCCCACCCCAGCACCTGCCCCTGTATGCCACAGTTATTTATTTTATTTTGTCTGATGGAAACCTCAAACATTTAAAGATGCATGGTTATGTTGATTTTATAATTTAAATAATTGAAACAACTTGTTTTTTTTTATCAGTGATTAAGTTCAGTCAATTTTGTACCATAAATGTGTCCGTTATTTGTTTGTTTGTTTACCATCTTCAAAAGAGAGCTGATAGGTTATCTATACATTTGACCTGATCTGGTTTAGCAAGATCAAAAATAAATAAAGCAACAATGTGGCTATAGATAATCATTACACAAGCAAAGGAAAATTTTCTTTAAACTCATACACCTACTTGTATGTTATCTCAATTGATATCATTGATGGCGCTTTAAAGATGAAGTTGAGTTCTGGTCATGCGATTTCATTGTGAAAGAAACGGTGTGGAACCGACCAGAAAAGGTTGATCATCTAACATATAAGAATTTGTGTGTATTGCAAGGTTCTGGAATCATCAAAATGATTAGAAATTCGGCCAAGTCTTGGTAAAGTTACAAAGACTGTACACAGAAAGATGTATATGGGACTACACGAACACGTGGCGTAAAAATCCTACCCCCGAGTTTTACGATGAACATGACATATTTAGAATATAACGGCATTTGAAGAGCCATGCTTTTCAGGGAACATGTCTTATCTGATGTTCTTCCACACTTGCATAATAAGAATGATAACGCTCACAAATTATTTTTCCCCTCTTCCAAGAACTCAACCTTCTCTTTAAAATAAAAAAGAAAGAATTTTGTTACAATTGAACTCGCACAATTTTGACCCTGATATGAACAGAGACATATCAAATTGGTACAAAATTTCTTACAAAGAAGTTTTAGAAGAAAAAATCATATCACCTGCATATGTTTAGTGAAACAGAACTTGAAAGCAGAAGCATATTCATTTTCTATATACTTAACAACTCTACCCCAAATGTAAAAAATAAGATTTTACTGTTCCGATGACTCTTCAAATGAAAGAAGAACGTGGAACATCCAATTTTGACAGGTTACTGCGGAGATGCTATGCTACCGTTCTTTTATCTGTGTTATCAAGTTGTGATGATGATAATGTCTGCTGAGAGCTAGAAAAATGTTCTCGATGATGTGAGTGAACGCAGTTCTGGCTCTCAGCAGACAGTATAACATGCATGCATTCAGACTAACTCACAAGCCACATATGTGTTCACACTGTAGAATTCCTCCTTGTTTTCTTGTGGTGACTAATCAATGTGTGATTCAGTTATTTAGTTATGTTCAGCTTGAATTGAATATTTTGCTCTTTTTTTGTATCCCCTTCAGAATAGTCCTTTTCATGCATTTTTATGATAGATAATTCTCCATACACTAAAATATGAAGTCATTTCATGATGGAGAGTTGTTCCTTTACAATATTTGTTTTTCATTTAATTGTACTACTACCATAGCAGATTAAACATTTTGCCATGGTGTAACAGAAATTCATGAAATGTTTATTTGACCCCAGCAGAGCTTGATTTAATCCATGGATCAGTACTGTATGAGCCTAATTTTCATCTACATGTATATCCAGGCTGTGCAGGTAGAGTTAGTCCACTAACTTTATTCGGAGTGTAAAGGTCACTTCTTCATTCTGTTTTTAGAAAATACCACCATTTTTTTTTATACTACAAGTATCAATTGAGCAGATATAAACGTAATTATCATAAAATCAATTTCACATTATCATTTTAATCTTATTTATTTTGTTTATAATTCTTATTACAGAATAAGAGTATTCTAAATGTATAGTGCAGAGCTGCCAACTAGTACGGATTTTCCGTAATTGGTACGGAAATTAACGACCATTACGGAATGTTGTCTCAAATTACGGATTTAAAAAAAAAAAAAAAAAAAAAGATTTTTTTTTTTTTTATTTTTTTTTTTATTTTTTTTTAATGAATTAAATATGATTTATCGTAGCGAGTGCTGTGAATAGGAGCCATTTTTCATGATAAACTGTGTTGTGATGACCTGAAATTCAATACTTAACATCTTTGTGTGAGTAAAATCACCAAAAATTTCAGATAATCATGCGTCCGCGCAGTGTTGGCGTGTCGTTTTTTTAGATTCATAGCGCCGCATAAGAAATTACTGATTTATACCCCAAATTACTGATTTTGAGCCTTGTGATTACTGATTTTCTGTTCTGGAGGTTGGCAGCTCTGATAGTGTACCAAACTACCAATCACCTAGAATTACTTTTGTGTGTACAGGTAGCATGTATAAAATCAACTGCTAAAAAAACACCTGATCCTAGCATTTCTTGGATTATTAAACGGATAAGGATTATGCAGATTATAAGGAATATCATAATACCTCATGCACGGAACCCAAGCCAGACTTAGGATCCGGCCAGGCCCTATTTTCTGCGAGGGCGTATGAGTGCATTGGCTAATCTACTCACAAGTCACTTTTATGCTAATTTAGAGTGTACTTGAATATAGTGTAACTCTTTTTAGAAATGGTATTCAGAGATCATATCTTGAATATAGCATATTGACATCGAACCTCTAACATACAAAGCACACTGTCTTTTGGTGAATGGTATGAACACTTTAAACCTGGAGCTCTAATAATCAATGGACTAAGTTTAGAAAGATTTGTGCACTTTGGCCTATAATATATTCTGAAAAACCAGTCCATGTTAAACCCATTTAAGCATGGCCCACTGGTTTATGGAAGGCCAGTTGTCAACCCCTAAGTTCCATATAAAGTACTGTAATTGTGTATTAACAAACTAACAAACTAAATAGTCACAATAGATTTGCTCATGAAAATAAAGTAATTTCATAGAGATCATTTTTTTCCTTCATATTTCATTTATCAATAACAAGTGTCACATTTCTATCACAAACTTGCTCACAGCCATTCAATAGCAACGATTTCAGTAGCTTATAAATAACGGTTTATTGGGAATAATGAATATGTTGTTATTTCGCACTCTAATCAATAGAATGAATCTGTGCAATTAGGCAGATTTACAACCTAAAGCTAGCTGGCTTAAAAAAATATGAGTGTTTTTTTATAAATACATGGCACTATGAAGTATGAATAACTCCATCAATATTAAATAACACCAATACATTTTCCCTTTATTATATTGAAGGAGAAATGAAACCAAAGGACATGGGGTATTATGAGAAAACTTCCAATTTCTTTATTGTGCTCAAGAAACTATTATTATTTTTGTAGGGGTTATATTTTTTTTAGTCATTAGGGTTAAAGATTACTCTTATAACCTGAGAGATATAAGCTGTGAAAATAGGGCAGAGAACCTGATGTTGGCTTTTATCATAGTGCACAATATGATGCTCTAAATATTTGAACAGTCAAATCTCAAAATGCCCTCTGACGCTGGAAACAGCTAGTCTTATATCCTCTCAAGCCATTCAGAATCATTGATGTATGAGATGTCTTTTTACTCCATTTGATGAAAACAAGAAAGGTCTTTATTCTTTATATTTTTACATATATAAATCAACTGCTTTTTGATATAAAGCTGATGACATTATGATTATGTAGAAAATGACCCCAAAAGTGCTGAAAATCATTTTTGCTAAAAAGCACCTACAGTGATACGCTTATGTCAGACAAGGTGATATATTGTTTTCCCAGCAGAACCCCAATGTCCTTATTCTTATAAGTGTATTGCTCAATTTCAATACATTTTAAAATGAAATAGGCTGATGCTGGATGTGTATATTCTTGAACATTACGAGTTGGATAGGACTTTGTGTTGATTCTAGAATGACCAAACTCATACATGTTCCCATGAGAAATGATTGTTTCTTTTTCTCTCTTTCTGCCTCTTAAACCTCATCAAACATCTGCAGATACCAACAGACCGCAGCAGAAACGGCGTAAGAGGAAATCATCGACGACACTCTCGACAACGGGGGGCAACAACCTGGGTATGAACAATATCGGTGGCGGAAACAGTAAGAAAAAATCACCGGGCAGCTTCAGTTCAGACGGAATGCCAACGGTTTGTATATCATTCTATCTCTCTCACATCTTGTTTCGTTTTAAATTCCATCAGTATTTTGTTTTTCTTGGTCATGTTATTGGTTTTGCTTCCTTTTTTGTTCATCTATTATTGTTATCATTATTATTATTTTTTGTTTTTTTATAAACATGATTGTCTTATCCTAGTATGATACTAGTACATGCGTATTTCAAGACAGTTCAAAATCATTTCATGAAGATATTGTGAGGAAAAGTTGTGTCTCTACATGTTGATCCAGTGTCTACGTTCAATGACAGACTACCTTTTTTTCTTCAAATTAAAGTGTGAAAAATCACCATGTATGTCATACAATACCGTAGATATGGAAGGAAAAAGGGAGAAAGAAACGATGTTCCATCTTCTTTTAATGCATCCTTGCATAATTTACCGTTATAAATTGAACCTTGCATTCTCATGGATAATACACAGGAATGAATCAGGACGATTCCATGCAATATGTCTTATACAAAAAATTGCATGATGATTTTATGCGTTTATGGAGCACAAATCTGTCATCCATGAATGAAAAATCCCTAAAACTCTGACTTTTGGTAGCCTAGCAGGAAGGCCCATTATCCAAGATGCATTAAATAATGAAGAATTTTTTTTTAATGACATGGGGAAAAAGACATGTCGTATTGGACGCATTGCACGGAATAGTCCAAGAAAAGTTTTCAAAGGCATGACAGAATAGAAAAGAGTGTACTAAGTACAAGTGTTTCCTGTTCCCAGATTACTTTGTTAGTCAAAGGTAGTACTGTTCATACAGGAATACATTTACGTTGTAGTGTATTTACAAAACATTATATATGTTACATGTACTATGTTTTATTTGAAAACATGTTTGTTCCAGCATATTGTTTGTGTATAGGTATAGAGAAAGACTATAAGCAACAAGTGAAGACAAACATGTTTCTGTTTGCAGATGAAACAGTTTTGATGGCAAAAAAACGAAGAAGAGGGAATACATACAATCATTGATCGACATACATTGTACATGTAGCTCATGAAGAAAATCTGCTACATGTTGTATTTGCATACTTCACTTCTTCATTATTTGAAGTCCTATGCTTAAGGGAAGGGGGGTGGATGTGGGTTTTATAGTATCGACATCAATCTGCAGCTCATAGCTCATGTTCAGGTTTAAAAGGACATGCGGGGCTTTATGTGGTAATCCTAATGCTTTCAGTTTAGAAAAAAATATCTATAGAGAAACATTTGAGAAAATATCCAATACCTTCAGAGCAATTATATCCCACTATAAAAAGTTAAGTATAAGAGGTGGGTACTAGAAATGTTGTTATATTAAACAATCAAAAACCCAATATATTCTAACCAGTCCAACTCCTAACCTTCATCTTGAGCTTGAGTGAAGGCTCAGTCCCAGTCTTAACTCCAGTGCAGTTGAGTGACCCCCCAGAAATGACATATCAAAGCAGCGAACAAATAAGTGAACAAGATTTATAGTGTAAAATTACATGTATGGTTAAAGGTCAGATGACAAATGCAGACATGATAAACAATGCGTGGAGCAATAGTCTAGTCCGGGCCCTGTCTTACAAAGAGTTGTGATTGATCCAAATCAATCGCAAGTCCTCCAATCAATCGCAAGTTTGCAGTCTCCTATCTCTTATGTACATAGTTGCGATTGATATCAACTCTTTGTAAGACAGGGCCATGATGTGAAGAAAGCAAAAGGAAAGAAATCCAAGATTTGATGTAAAATTTTTGAAAACAATACTTTAAAGGATATTTTCAAAGAATGTACATTTCTAGATTCAAGTACTTACAATGGTAGTTAGGACTATACATAAAATGGGTAATGAACGTGATGTGTATGGTTTAATTAATGAGATTTAGAAAATGTTTTTTTGCCTTTTAACAATGATGTTAACTTCTAAAATTCACTCCTTGCATATGAGAATGCATGTGGCATGACTTTTTTGTCTTTACAATTATAAACGGCTGATTCAGTCCCCCATGCATGCCATGTCACTTATCATTAACTAACCATATCATTATAGTGAAGGGAAAATAAAAAATAAAAAAAGAATGCTTAAATTCAAGTCTTTTGAGTGCCAACATTTTTAAAAGAAAACGATTTTGAAGAGTAAGGGCTTGAATTGTGTTGAAGTGGTTTATTAATAGAATTAAAAGGACAATTATAGCAGGTTGAGATATAAGTAAGCAGACACAAGTCTCGTTTAAACAGGCCTCTTCAATTTTTCTAGTTTCTTGCCAGAAACATGTGTACATGTAGCTTTCTACAGATGTTGTGAAACGACAGGACATAGAATAATGTTTGGGTATTCTACATTATATTTGTAATCTGTGCAACTGTGCTGTGTGAAGTTGGATTCTAAACCCATGGAATCTGTCAGAATTATCTTTCAATAATCTTTAGAATGCATCTAATAAGCATGCTGCTTCTTCTGACATCTCAACCTAATGATGGCAGTCTAATTTGAACATAATAAATAATGTAATAAGAAAGAGAAGAATAACTTATTCTTCACATTTCTTAAATGGGTTTGGGGCAATTTAATTTTGAGAGCAACCCCCCCCCCCCCCTATGTTTTGGTTTGTTTTATGCTTGTTTTTTAATAACACAAATCTTCACAAAGTTATAGGTCTTTTTAAACGACCTCACTTTCAGCCCTTTTCAAATATAAATCTTTTTTTTTTTGTGTGTGGAAAGATTGACTTAATTTTTTTTTATCTGACAGAGTAATAGTACAATTTTGAAAATGATGAATTCAGAACTATTTCAACCAGTTAGGTTTCTTTTTCATTACAAACTCTAATATCTCTTTTTTTTTAATGATGTAAGGACAGTATTAAATTGAACACCTGCAAGTTGTTTCAATCAGACTAAAAACCATGATTTTTAGTATATTTTAAACATACCGGGTACTTTGCATATGACCATTTCCCATGTTCTGTATTTTTGGAGTAGGGTATTTGATTTTGTACAAATATGTGAACTCATTATTTAAAGAGCTTTAATGAGGTTTCCTCAGACAGTGCTTGAGTGATCGTAGATGCTGGGGGGTGTTTCATAAAGCTGGTGGTAAAGTTATGCATGACTTTATGAATGACTTCAATATGAAAAGCCAAATGGGATGCTCATCATTATTAACTGCATCAATTAAAGTTGAACTGTGCAGATGTAGATTAACATCCTTATTATAAAAAAAAATAATAATACAAAGTATATTTTTTGCCATAATTTAATTGAGGTTATTGGAAATATAGTCACACTTTGTTAAAACATCAGGAAAAACTTTAGGCATCCTATCTGGCACTTCATATACAATTCGTTCGTAAAATCATGCGTAACTTTACGAACAGCTTTATGAAACACCCCCCTGGATTGAGCCTATTTGTTGACAATGTTTATGCTCTAATCCATCCATAGAGAAATGGTCCAGGTGGGAGAAGTAAGAAACGGAGCCGGTCCGGTACACCTCAGCCGGTACCCATCCCTCCCTGGATACATGATTCTATTTCAGAGGTGATTATCACAAAGCAATGCTTCACAACACCCCCGTGACAGTCAAGTGGACTCGGCCTTCATACATTCCCTCTAGGAGCACTGTAGGAGAAACCATTGCATGTTAGGGGAGGGAGGGTTAGACGGAAAAATAACAGACTTTATTATTTTTTTCTTTTTCTTTTAAGTGAATAGCCAATTAGACATCTTACTTTGGGGACAGCTGATTTAAATTTGAGATGAAGGAAGTGATATAAAGGATTGATTTTTGTTTATACATGGGCCATTTGTCATTAGTTTTAATTTCTATATGCTGACATACGTGGAAAACTAAAATAATGTTACCACAAGAATTGGTCTGTTGTAGAATCAACTTAAATCCACAAAAAATATAGTGTTCTTTTGCTTTAGAAATTACTTACTGGCACTTAGAATAGTATTGAATTAAATTGAAAAAAAGAATAAGCAAGGCAGGTTTTAATGTTTAAATTACCTAGAAGTGATTGTACGAACTGAGAAGGTTAATGCAAAAGACACAAACTCTTTAAGTGAATAAACTAAGATTTACTAAATGTGTTTAAATTGAAGAGATGTTTATATAAATAAATATGGAGAAAGCAATGGTTGTCTAAATTCAGGATCAAAATTTAAGTCCATTTGATTATGTGGTGTCCTAAGAATAGCTTCACATTCTTGAAAATATCTTTATTTTTTTCTTATAGTATATTGTTTGGGGTGTTTTTCATATCACAATATCACAAGTTTGAGTTCAAAAAGAAGGAAAGTCCACTTGATTTGTTGCTTTTGGAAGTTTGCTCATCTTTTTTTTGTTTACAGTTCTTTCTTTTCAACTAGCAGACTCTTCAGTCATAATGCAATATCTATAACACAGCATAATACATCTCCTTTTACTAAACCTTTTCCTTTTATTCAAAACTATTTCTCTGTGTTAACCCCCACCCCTTGCTAAGTTCTTCAGCAGTTGTGAGATTTCAGGCGCGCAGGGACTTCCCCACACTTCCAAGCAAAAATGTAAAAAGAAGTATGTGCAAAGGGCTACCTTGTTAAATCCTGTTAAATCTGTATCTTTGGTTATGTTAAAGGACCTACAGAAATCCTATTTAGTTTGTATCACATTAGGGCATTTGGATACTGATTAAACAGAGGGGAAAATACTACATATACATGTAGTATGTTAGTTTGCTGTATTTTCAAAATTCCGCTTTAACAAAAAATGTTCATCCGTACATGCATGCCCTCAAGTTTGACCATAACAACCCTGATCAACCCGCATCATTTAACTTGTTCCCACATTGTTTGTGCCAAGAAACATGATTGTTTAGAGCGAGAGAGATACAAAATAAAGCATGGATGACATAATACTAATCTGATATAAAGGAAACAGTGTAATTGTATTCCTTAGGTCCGTGTTCATTTAATAGTTTTGTAATGTTAACTTCATGAATGAACACGTATACCATTGTCACAAGACCTTGCAATGAGCTTGACGTTTTATCTCCTATCTTTGTTTCCATCTCGATGCATTCCCCTAAAGTATGATACTAGCGGCCATCTAAACATACAGGTACTTGGTATCACAAACACTATGCATTTGTTCTGGATTTTTCAAACTTTTGTGGAAATGTGCAATTCATGCAAAAAATACAGAGCCCCAAAACGGTCTATGTCTGTGTGTAGGTTTAAAGAGCAATATTTTTTTTTCTACAATTTTTGCCTGTTCCTTGGATATTTCACAACTGTTCTGCTGCTTGATTTTAAGATAATTTTCGGGGCTCTTTTTATTTTTCTTTCTTCTCTAATCGAGGGATTTTATTTGCTTCTTTATTTCTGCACTTTTTAGTAATTTCTTGTCCTTGTGAATTATTATTATTATTATTATTATTTTTTAAATTCCACTCGTTTAACTGTTGCTCACTCATTAATTGGAGGCTTTTGGAAATACTCACACAGCACCGAACCTAAAACATGGTCACAGTTTGGCACTTGTTCACTTGTTTTTCAGCACCCTTTGTACCCAGTGGTGGTATTTTGTTTATATGTTGGTTGCATGTTGCACTGTTTATTTGTAAATAATTGAGGAGCAAGTTAACTGATGTGTTGGCACAACCCCACAATTTTTATTTCCATTTGTTCACAGTGCACAAACGCTGTTACTAGTTGTTGATGTGGTTTGGATATGTCTTGGGGCATTTATAGATAACACCAAATTCTTCCTACTATTTTGTGTGAAACAAGTACTAGTAGACTCCATGCAATTAATCTCTGTATCCAATGCAAATATAGGGTAATGTTGATGATAAACTTTAGTTTGGGGGGATATCAGTGAGAAAAATAGATTTCCTGTTAATCTCAATGCTTGATATGATACAAGAATAAAAAAAAAACCTTTTTTTTCTCCTTCACAATATGTCACCCAAACCCTCCTTATATAACAGTATTGTTTGTACCCCTTTTCTCCATGGATTGCATAATTTTATCAGATTTTGAGGGAAGCCATTAGAAAGTGGGAGAGTTTAAGGTTTCCTATTTGATTAGAAAAAAATAATGTTGGAAACAGAGATAAGGAAAGCCAATTTTTTGATTGAAAAATAAACTCCATAAGGGTAATAGTTGGTAGTTTTACATAGGAAACATAATATTTTGTAGTTTGTAAAAGCTGTGATATATCGAAATGGACTTTTATGTTCTGAAGCAATGCTCGAATAGAATAGAAATTATGTAAAGATCAGGTTAAATGAAATGGGATGAATAAAGTTTGACTCTGGTGGTCATGTTTTGAATATTCCCTAATTTAGGAGATATGGACTCCTCCTCCCCCCCCCCCCCTCCTCTCCCCGTCCTCTTATAACTATTGAACTTCATTTTGCTTTCTCAAAGTAGTAAGATTATCCTATTGACATTATAGGGTCATCAAGAAAACAGAATGAACCAGAATTTACCTTCATTAAAAAATATCTTTGTGATATGATCAATTATAATAATGCAGAGCAGTTTAATCTTTTCTATATCTGGCCATAATTATGCATATAATAATAGTGCCATAATTATTCATCCGTAGTTTATCTCAGATTCTTTTCTTCTTTCTCAAATCTCACAATCTTTTTCTTCTGCTCTTCTCTTTTCTTTTGAATCCAATATATACTTGTCTATCAACTACAATACACTGAACTAATCCTGTGAAATCACTGAGGTGGTAAGACATCTAAAGAGTTGCATAATTGCCAACAACAAGCACTTTTAACATCCTTAATATTTTTTGCTATGCAGTTATGGGAAATGTATAAAAGATTAACTTACCGAAACTAAGTACTTATCAAATCATAATTCAGTTCATTTGCAACTAACAAGGTATACTAAAGCTATTAAACTTCACTTCCATATACAGTAAATGTAACCAAACGGGTACATGTAGGCCCGTTTATTACCAAATGCATATTAAAGACCTATACTTAATTATATCAAGTACTCACAAATGCTCCTTTTGAAATAAATAAATAAATTTATAGAGTAGTAAATTTAAATATTTGCAGTTAAACGCCATTGCACATATTAATATTTTATTCAATTTAGCTCAGACAAGTTCATCTGCGTTTTTTCAAGTACATGCATATAATTATACTGAAGTTGTTCTTCAGGTACTGAAAAAACTGTTTTTCTTGACTGGCAGTTTTGAGAAAATAGGGAAGAAAGAGGAATTGCATGAAAATTAGTTTTGATGGTATGTACAGCTGTGAAAGCGTCTAGCTGTATGATAGTTTTGCACAGATTTTGCTTGAGGTGCAATGCTTAAAACTCATGAGTGTCCACAAGCATATTGTAAAGCCTTTTGATTGGAAATGTAAAAGAAATTCAGAAAATGTAGAATCAATTTTGTTGCCCTTATTTGTAAGCAAGTAAATCTCTACTTGATAAAAGTAAGATAAAGAAAAAAAATGACACGAACATGGAATTTCATTCACAAATTTCGTGCAAGGGTGATTTGGTAGTACTATTTATATTAATATTTGATTTCTTGTACAATCGATCGATCAATCCCAATCCATTGATCAGTGTTTCTATTTTCTTAATGGCATGACCTCTGCTTGACCTGTTACTGAAAAAAGAAGACTGTTAATGACATTTGTGGTGCTCAGGCTTTAAATAGGCCATTATGTGTTGTTGGTTTTGCAAACTGTTGTATGCTCATTAGCTTAAGCATTGCACCTTCACCAGATTAAGAAACTAGTGACAAATTCATTCCAACTTTTAGAACATGAAAATTGATCTCTTTTAGTTCATTTTGTTGCTGTAAAGTTTTCTTCATCATACAAAAAATAGTCTTGTAACAGAGAGAGAGAGTAAGAAAGAGAAAAAGAAGAAAATAGGGAGGTTTTAATTTATTGTGAAAAATTTATGTGCCTGTTATTTGTCAAGCAAAACATTTTGAGCATTTTTGCACAAAGGAAATAATTTTTCTTAAATTTCAATTTTCCTTGTATATATGTCATATTCTTGTATTATTTATCTTTCATGTTTTGGGGTGTAACTTCTTTTCTTACTTATTGTTTTTATATTTGTTATTGTCTTTTTCTTTTCCCTCATTAACATTTATTTATTTGTTGTATAATTATTTTGGTTATTCTTTTTTTCATTTATTTATGTTTCATTCATTTAATGTTGATTTTTACTGACAATGAATTTAACATCCCACCATTTATACAGATTATGTAAGATTTGGTTAGGTAATTTATATTATGGTTACAATTTGGAACCAATATGATGATGTTTAATCTGTATTACAATTCATCATATTGGTTCCAAATTCAATAAGCTTACATAACAATAAAACTTTGAACATGTTCACAAAGATGAAAGGTAGAAGACTTTACTGAAATAATGATATTGTGTCAGCCAGCAATGTTTTAATGCTCATGTGGATTTATTGTACATGTTATTACAAATAATAGGAGGCTAGGCTATAAATGTAAGTTACATACTGGTAAGTGAAGTGTAAAAAAAGGATTTTTTTTTTTACTGTTTACTATGTTGCCAATCATGACACACATAAAGTATGAAGGCTTCACTTTCTTTTTGTACAGCTATCGGTAGATCCCTTTTCCCTTCATTTTTATAGTATTATGTGATGGCTTTGTTGATAAAGTGAAAATTTGATATATACAATACTTATGTCAAAGAAACATGTTTTTTGTCTTGCAATATAATATAATATTATTAAAAAAAGCTTTCAGAGAATCAAATGAACTGAAAAGTACTAAAAATGAATGTACACATATGAGATCACATAGACTTTTATGTAGCTACGTATCTCGTGATGAAAATTCATAGGGTTCTGTCGGAGGTTCTTTGATGTTTGCAGTATTTGGAATTCCTAAAAAGCTCTAATGACAACCCGTTTCACTGCACACAATGATATTTTGTCATGCTGTGCATAATATGAAAGATTTGGAGGTGCACACATGTTGTAACAATTTGCAGTTTAACAGTAAACACTCTTTGAACTAACCGGGAAACACTTTTCTCTTTGGGAAGAATTAACCTAACTCAAATATGGTACTACTGTGAGTAACAAATTAACTTTATGTAGGAATCTATCTTAGATTCATTGGGTGGTATTCTCAAAAGCAGACTAACTTTAGTCCATGGTTTAATCCACCGACTAAGTATGGAATGCCAAGTGTCCATATGAACATGTTTTTGAATAATTTAATCTGTCAATAAATTAGAATAAAATGTAATAACATAACTAATAAAATAATCAATAATATAACTATGATATAAACATGTTATCATGGTAAGTTAGAAACATATGAAAGTTTTTCCCCAAAAAATGAATATGGACACTTGGCATTCCATACTTAGTCAGTGGATTAAACCATGGACTAAAGTTAGTACACTTTCGAGAAAACCACACATCGAAAAAGGTGATTATTAAATTTTCAACTAAAAAAGTGAATATAGCCTTTAAGAATGGTTCTATTAAATCTCTTCGTACTTAATTGCAGGATGTGATGGTGGTTGGAGAGCCATCGCTTATGGGCGGTGAGTTTGGCGACGAGGACGAGCGGCTGATCACGAGGCTGGAGAACCAGCAGGCCGATGCCAACAACGGCATGGACAATGATGAGGACTTCGCAGGAGGCGAATCGGGGGGCACGGGTCCGGGTCCCGGCGGCCCCAAGTCCACCAATTCATCATCGGGCCCCGGCGGCCAAGGGTCTTGGAATTCAACCGACACTAAGCCCCCTCCTGGAACCAATCCTCCACAAGATGAGAAACAGGTAGCAGCATCACAGAACTGAACTGAACTCAAAGGATGCTGCCCCCAGCATTGCTCCACAGGAATACTGACAAAAGCAGTGCTCTTGCTCTTTGCTATGGGACTGTTTTTTTGTGTGACGACATACTGGAATGACTATATCTTTTCCAGTGGACTTATCTTCCCCATTTTTTATTTATTTTTTTTTATTTATATCCATTTTTGGGGAACAATTTTTGATGGCCAATTTTTTCTTTTTTACTCCATTTTGTTGTATATACATGACTATGTTTACAGCAGTGGTATTATATGTTTTTTGTGCTAGTATTATTATTATTCAAAAGATTAAATTATTGATATGTTGACCCACCTTTATTGAGTAAGTGGAACGAGTCTTACAAAATATTCCACTTTGACGGAGCAGCACCTGTGAATCTCGAGGTATTCAGAAGTACTAAAATGATGAAGCCTTTGTTGAATATTGACTATCAGGACAGACAGGTATACATATATTATTCACAGTAGTTACAACCATAGATTTCTAGGTATGCATGTAGGTTAACAAGATAGATGAAATGAAACTTAAATTCCATCCTTTATTCCCCTTGATCATTAATACCACTGCTGTAGCATTCTATCTGTCGTTTGTGTGTTTCATAGTTTTGTATATTGTAAATACGACAAATTACGAAAGGGTGATGACAGAAGCCAAGACTTGGGTTCTCTACAATGTGTTTCCTACAAAGATGTCATTTGGACATTTACAACGGGGCATAAGATATTATCTTCATCTATTGATATGATTCTTTTGTTTTCATGTGTGACATCACTAGTATATGTCTGCCACTATTTCATGTATGTTTTTTTGACCACCTCCCCTGTCCCATTTGTGTATCTCTTTATTCTCGTTGAAACTTGCTCAGTCCTGTTGGTTAATAGTTTTACATCAGAAGATACAGTTAAAAACTAGATTATTCATACCCTTTGCAGAGATGCCAACTGTTCTGTTTTTGCCGTATTTGTTCCGTTTTTTTAATTTTTAAATTTTTTTTTTTTTTTAGTGGTGTTTTTCTTAATTTCTGATCATGGGCTTTGTGTCGTAAGTGTATTATGCACCTACATCTTAAAACGATGCACGCAGGATGGTGATATGGGCCCCAAACTGCGCACATTGCGAACAACCCACGTGTAATGTATGCACGTCGCGCTCCGATCCGGGTACGTATACGTGGTACTGCCTGGTTTTTTAAGCTGCTCGATTGGGCGATATGTTAAGTTGAGAGATTTTTTCAAAAATGCTGTTTTTTGTCCAAAAATACTGTTTTTTGCTCTGAAGAATACTTTTTTTTGTTGAAGAAGGTTGGCATCTCTGCCTTTGTAAATTCAATGTTTTTTATTGTTGTTTTTTCCTCATAACTCAAGAATGACAGGTTGACTGGTTGAATTAGGGCCTGTGTTGAATACTTCAAGATGTATTAGTATTAATAGGTCACATTCTCAAGAAACATAAATCAGGGTAAATCAACTTTTTACGTACTTATAAAACTACAAATCTTGGGAAGGGTATGAATAATTTAGTTGTTAACTTTATAATTTTTTTCGATCCAAACTATTTTTCACAATTTGAAAAATGTATTTCCCTTTCAATATGGAGAAGAATTTTTTTGGTCTTTGTCTGTTTCTATTCCAAAATGAGTCACAGAGATGGACAAGCCAAGTACCTCCACCTTTGTGTCATGTCATATTTACAACCACAACAATAACCAAGAAAAAAATTAGTTATTTTGTTGCTTTAGTAGTTGTCTCGGCAGTACTGACATTTCAATTGGCAAATTCAAATTGAAGTCCAAAATTCAAATTCTTCTTTCTTTAATAAAAAATTCTGGCCTGCAATGCGGTAAAAGATATCAACGTAGTGTACTCTAGACCAGTCTAATTCACCTTAAAGTTAATTTGTTGATAATTATAAAAGCTTTCACAACAGAGAGCAAGTCATACTTTAACCAAATGGTATCCATTTGGCTTGTGACCACTGGTATGTTATCCTGGGGGCTGTTTCTCGAAACCATCATAAGTCTAACTTCTTAAACATCCTATTGAAACGTGTGTTATAGAACTAACATGATTGTCTATGGGATGTCCACGAACTTAGATTTACGACGGTTTCAAGAAACTGGCCCCAGCATTCTAGAAAAAACATACCCAATTTAACTGCAGCCAGTAGTAGTACATGTAGTACCTTTGAAATAAATCAGCTCCTTCCTCTGCATTCACAGTCTATTCTCCCCTCATGTTTAATGTTTTAGAGATACATCATTGATATTTATTGTTACTCAAATCACTGTATTTGTACATATCAGATATGTGTTTTTTCTTGTGTTTAGGTATACAAGTGTTTGTGTATTGTGCATTTTATGTTCATCATGGTGCACTGCCCGTAATGTATAGAGAGGGGTGATTTTTTTTTCAGTAGGAATTTATTTTTGTTGAGATGAAATCAGTTATGGTCTAGACAGTGGCAAAACATGATGGGTCTTTCCTTGTCGTTAATAGAATTGTTCTACAGAATTTAGGATTTTGAATAGAATGAAGAATGTTTAGAGCTATATTGAAAGGTTTTGTATCATGTCTCGGAAGAGGGGAGTCAGTGAATGTGGAATCTGTCAAACTGAATCAGGAATCGTCGTTTTCATATCATTTTGTAAAACGTAAATCATAATTGTATCACTATTCCTGTTATTGTGTGCTTTTTTAATCTTTATTTGTTATTGTTGATATTGATTCCTCATGGGTAACTAATGAGCACAAAGATTTAATTGACACTTACACAAGTATTAGTGTCTTTGTCTTTTCTCATTGTTTCTTTAATGAGATTGGCTTTGTTATGATCATGCATATATGTATACATTGTTCCAGATTTTTTCTAAAGTTCACAAAAATGTCGATCTACTCAATCATTGCATTCTCTTAATTCCCTCAAGCTAGGAGGAGCGATTGAATCACTATATTTTGCTTTGTTGATTTCTTTGTTCGTTCATTGTGTCAATGAAAGAAAATTTGATTCATAAAAAATAAGCTGAAGATTGTATTGTTCAAATAAAATAAATTCCTTGATATCTTCATGAATTTCCATTTCCACAATTTCAACTGCTATAGTTCTTACTCATAATTGGTATTCTCCTTCAAATTGGTGGTCTAAATTGGCATCAACATCGGTTACTTCGAGTACAGGTATGTGTATTAGACTTGTTGACAGTGTAGAATTGACAGTGAATTTTGAGGTACTTGAAAGAACATGGTTAAAGATGTGTGTGTGTGACAAGCAGTGAGTAGGGGGAGGGGAGGGGGGGAGGGGGGTAGGGATCGGGATAGGATGGAACCTGCAATTCTAAATGACTTACTCAAGGTTTTAACCCATAGATTATTGATAACGACTGTGTGTTTGACTGGTTTTGACTGGCTTTGACTGGTTTCGACTGACAGGGAAAGTCCCAAGAACTCGTTCCTGCAACCAACAAGAAAACTCCAATTTGCCCATCGTCTGCTGAGAGCCAGAAGGGCGTTAACTCTGTATTAACTCTGTATTAAAATGATAAAGAGTTTGAGCCCTTCTGACCCTCTGGAGAAGATACAAGTCAATGTCTCCTTTCTTGAAATTGTCCATGAGTGGCAATGGATGACTTGTATTGGATTGGATGTCAATTGTTGATTGAAGGACGACTATGTGTATGTACATATGGATAGCATACAAAGTTTGTACAAAAGAATGAAAGGTCATGCGATGAGGTCATGACCCCCTGTAGTATCAATAATCTCTATTCTCTGCTGCAGTGTATAAGAAGAGAATTGATTTCAGTATTTCATATCAATAATAAATTTGGACTTGGATATACAACATTTGACTGCCAAAGCTATTTTATTTCATTTTGAGTGGATGCAATGTGTTGTCAAGTTGTATTTTTAGTGCTCAGAATGTTGATATTAGCCAACGATATGGGATAGAAAAATAAGCCTGCATCGTATACAGTTGTGCATTTTGTCCCGTAATCTATAAAAAAAATTAAACACAGCACTGGCCTTAAGCTTCAGGAGGTTTTGATGGTGTCCAACTCAACCATTTTAGAGTTCTCCTTAACTAGCAACAAAACATTTATTAAACAGAATTTCTAGAAAACGGGTTCGCATTGAAATCTGCTACCAATTCTTAAGAAACTATCATCAATGGAATAGGAGGATTGTTTTTGTACTGATATTTAGGTAAAATAATTGTTCAATGAAGGCAGGAAACTAGAGAAAAACAAATTGGTTAATTGCCAAATGTTAAAACAGAACGACAGTTCCATCTGGGCCCTCCACATGTATTTCAATCTTGCATAATTCCATTCACGCACAGAGAGCTTGTTTGTAGGGTATCAAATAATTTATTCCTTATCTTGAAATTCAGTATAAAAATTACAATAATCAAACAAATAATATATACACCATCCAATCCAAGTAAAAGTTATGACAAATTATTGTAATTTTATTTGGGCACTTTGCCATCACATTGGCTCAATTCTACCCCCCCCCCCCCCAACAAAAAAAAGTAATTTCTGAACTTAAACAAAAAAATCTTGTATTTGTAATTCAATCTCTTGTCCCCTTTTAGTCCCTCGCAATCTTTTGTTCCCATCTTATTGAGACAAAAAAAATACCAAGAAATCAAGAAATAGATTGGATCAAAAATTCCTAGTTAATTCTTCATGATACTTCAATTACAAATTGAATTATCGAAATAGAATTTGCCCAAAGAAAACATTAAAAGATTGTCATATATACATAGAAACTTCTACTGGATTGTAGTGTTATACACATATTCATATATACCGGTATATTCATATATATTTAAAAAAGGAGGGGAGGGGGTTACTTCATAGTGTTTGAATATCATATTGAAATGAGATTGAACCAATTTATCAATTCTTTGCCATGCTAGGTACTTATTCAGGTACCTTTTATAAGTAGTATTATGAAAAAATAAAATGAAACATTTATATCTTACAGGAAAAAACAACAACATACAAATAATCTGGTTTCTAATATCTGCACTATTTTGTTCCACTGGTACATTGTACATTTACCCTTGGCTAAGATGTTCTGAATTATCGGTTGAGAGCCGATCCCACATCACTAATAACCCAAAGGTAACCATAATTATTGTCCCCAAAGTTGGAAAAAGGTTCTTAAAAATTGGCATTGAAGATCCCATCACACTGAATTTATGCTAATACCCCTTTCAGAGCAGCAATTTTTGTTCACAACCAAAGTGGTAAAGGTAAAGTTAGGACTTACAATTATCATCATCATTCTTGCGGGACCTGGGGGTGTTTCATAAAGCTGGTGGTAAAGTTACGCATGACTTTACAAATGACTTAAATATGTAAAGCCAAATGGGATGCTCAATCATTTTTAACTGCATCAACTAAAGTTGAACTGTGCAGACGTAGATTAACATTCTTATTATAACAAACATTTTTAATGCAAAGTACATTTTTTGCCATAAATTGATTGAGGTTATTGGAAATATAGTCACATTTTGTTAAAACATCAGGAAAACTTTCATGAATGTCATGCGTAACTTTACGAACGGCTTTATGAAACACTCCCCAGGCCTTTTAACTTACTTTCATATTGAGAATTTGAAAGAAACGGGATAACAAAGGCTTTGAATACATACTATGAGTATACGGCAATGGAAATGAATTCTACGTGCACTTTGGTTGAATATAAATTGGGACCAAAGTTATTTACATGTACATGTGTTCAATATTTCTAGATACCAAATGTACTGGTACTAATAATGTCTTGCATGTCATAAACCATTTTTTCCTCAGTAAATTTTTACTTCATCAGTTTGACACAAAAAGAAATTCCGTACTGTTTCTATTTCTACTAAAACCTACATAAAGTATTACACCAGTTATACATATAGACATCTCTTTTCATAAATATTTACAACACAAGTATAATACAACATATATTATTATCTTTATAAAAAAAAGCATTAAACGCTGCTTTCTCTGTGTGTAACTCTATTAACTCATCCATCCCTTTTCACTGTCTGTTTTGATGGTCAAATCCAGTGTGATTGTTCCCTATGACAGTATTCCTTCAAAAGTACATCATATTGCAACTTCTTAAAGCTATGTTCATTAGGAAATTGTGCATATATTGATTAGAAGTACACACACCACAAAGAGTATTTCAAATGACAACAAATAACAGAATATTTGTGACTCTTGTGCATCAATATCTTGCATGTACATACATATGTACTTGCAATTGTAGTGTAAATACAATGTGTGTACATGTGTGCAGGCCTATACAAAATTTAAACAAAACTTTAAACTAAAATAATTAAATAAATCTATTTGCTCTGAAATTATTTGAACTTGTGTTACCAATCAAATGAATTTAAAATTATGAATCCATAATTCTGTTTACATTTCTCTATCAAAAGAAAAAACAGTGCATTCACTTCCAAGCTATTTAGTCATACTACCCTTTCATATGAGTTGTTAGAATACGTTTAATATAATCTGAAAGGAAAACAAAATTGATGAAAGAAAAAATTCATGTTCAAGATATCTTTCAGTTTCCACAAATCATTGTCACTAATTGAATCTGAGAGTATGAATATATATATATATATATATATATATATACACACACTACCCTAAATATTTTGTTGTCTTACCTGTTATATATTTTTGGAATTTGGAATCAATGAAATCACAGCAGACTATCAAACAGAGATAAACACATGATAACTGATTTCATCTACAATGTATATTGTCATTGTGGGAGCAGCAATATACACAAGATTTATGATGTCAAAGGTCACTATAAGTCAATAAACACAGTAACTAGATATAGTAGACCATTCTTATTGAGTAGCTGGGTAAAAGGCAAATGTATAGCAATAAGTAAATGAACAGTTGAATATACTTATCTAATAACTTATGTAATAAACACCATATTTTTTTTAATTAAAAAAATTCAAAGAACGATTCTTCTCTTCCTATTTATGCTGTAATAACACCTTTACCTCATAGAGACATTATCATTCCATATACACTGTACACACATTAGTGAGAAAAAGAAATTTCACATGCTCATTTCATAAGCTGATAGACAAGTAGAAAACTTGTTGACAAATTAACTTGATATCTGTGGCATCTGTGCCACAATATCAAAATGTAGTACTGTAACAAATGAAGAGTTTATTTCCAAATGGAGCTAAATCAATTTTTGTAACTTTGGAGAAGAAAAAAATTGTTTACCAGATTTTGTACAGGCGTCTATGGTAAAGTGGTATTAGAAGGTGTATTTTTTCATAATTGCTCCGAAAATTTAGGTAAATAATTTTGTTGAAAGACGGGTACTCAGTTTTCAGCATAAGTAGATTTAGCTCCTTTTGGAATTAAGCTCTTCAAATACAGCCATCCAAACAGGATGCAATGTTTCTCAAACACCATGGTAACGCATTGTTGAGGTTGGGCTCAATTGTAAAGACAAAAATCACAATAATGCCTGACAAATTATAAGCATAAGAGCTAAGCATAGCATGTAGCACCAAACCTACATTGCACCATGTGAGGATGACTCAATGTATATGTAATAGGATTGTTCACATTTCTTCAAACATTTTCCTATATTCCGAAAGAGCCTTTCAGTGCTTATGTATGCTACTAAGCTGTAATGTTGTGTGGTTAAGAAACAAAAGTAGACTCTGCATGCTTTAAAGGATGTTTTAGCTGCTGCTTTGTAAGGTAAACCTCTGGAAAGCTAATTTACTATTTGAATACATTTGTGAACAATACTATTACATCATATCACAAAAACCCTAATGGCCTTTTATTCAGCCCACTGTACACTATGCTGTCCGACTATGATAAAGTTTTTAAGAATTGGCAATTACAAAATGAAAGATTAAAAAGTCACGTCTTGATGAAGGGTTGTTGGTGAATAAGAGATTGAAAGACAGACTCAATTAAAGCTCTGAAATAAAAGGAGAAAAGGTAAAGCCATTGCCTACTGGAACTGGATGGCTCGTGTACTAAAGCCTATGGAACTGAGGGAATTAGGGATCAACGGGTTATTAAAGTGTCCTGTCAAATCTCCCTCGTTCAACACATCTAAAGAGCTCCCAGAAAAAAGTGACTTTTTGAAACTGATGACAGTTTCGTTGGACAAAACTTACATAAAGCATGCCATTTCTTCTGCAGTCAGATGGTATAATGTACAGTAGGCTTAAATTTAGATTTTTTTTAACCTTTCTCTCAAATGAATGAGATGAAATGGTTTATTGTGATGGTGTCATAATCGTTTCTATGCAGGAGTTTATATTCAGTTGCAGGTTTCACAACCCTATGTACGCACAATACTGTTAAAGCATATGTGCATACATTCTTACATGCAGCCACTGTGAGTGTGGCAGGATTTTCGATATGACATATATTTATTAGTCAGTTTAGTTGCAGCTTCTAGAGAGGTTCTCAACCATATTTATTCTCCTGCAAGGGGGGGGGGGGGACATACAATGGCTACTTTACACCTCAAAATATAAAGGCTACCATTATATCAGAATCGACTATAGTCCTAAATCTTTGAGACAGGAATAACTGCAAATCATGTAAGAGCTATAAGTGGGAAGGGTAGTCCAGTAAAAGATTTTTATGTTTGTGAACCTCTCACGTTGATTTCAGTGATATATCATCGCAGTTATTTAGATCATCCAATGAAGACACGTTGAGTTATGGGGTATAGGCAGGAGGGGCAGTCAGGGCAGTGCTGGGCGGGAAACCTGGTAACTCTTGCTCCAGCAGTTCATCCCAGTCTTCCACCAACCTCTCTCTCCTCTGCGGCTCGTCGTAGAGGGGGTACCGTCTGAGAAGGTTGGTGGCTGCTATGACGACGGAGAGCGCCCCTGAGACGACGATGAGATAGTAGCCCATCTCGAAGGTGACGAAGACTTTGCTGGTTGAGACTAGCTTGTAGGCTTTGAGCTCTTCCTCTATACATGTGGACACCCAGTAGCATAGACCATTGATGGCTACACAGAACAGTACTGAAAAGGAGACACAATGTGTGAGGGGTTAAAAGAAGACACAAGACAGACGAAAGCCATATCTATCAATGGCTAGACAGCAAATACTCATGATGTATGATGTAAAGCAAAGGAAAACTGTATCTGAATTAATTATGGCTTTTAGATTGCATTGCATCAATAGTAGGAAAGATGCTATGGTATAAGTGCATCATTATCATTGCATCCAGATTTTTATATTGAAGCCCTAAAAAAAATTGCACTTCAAAATGATCATGAAGTGTCTCAAAAAGTAAAGAAATCTTTGAGTGACCGGTTTTACCATACCCATTTTCCCCAACAGACTGTAGCTTTATAAAAACCATCGGGGAAAAAAGGTTTTTAACATTTTGAATTCCTATCATAAATATCTTGATAATCAGATGGGCGATTGGCTTGTAAAAGTCATTGGATTCCTGACTGACCTAAAGGTTTTTAATTATCATTGCAGCATGAGCTAAATCCAGGATTTTGTTTAGAATCTGACACAAGGATACCCAATCCCTTCAAGTCTGTACCTGTTAGAATGGATGAGATGGCAAATCTTCTACAGAGCTTCAAGGATGTCTGCATAGGCCCCAAGGTGTCCAGGAAGAATGCAATGAGGGATGACATGATCCCCAAGAAGAGGAACCCAATCACTGCCCTCATGATTGGTATAGCTTTACTTGTGAAACAGTGTTGGTAGGCTGCAAGCAAATAACATCATCACATAATCAAATGAGTTCTTACAAAATAAATAATGAAATCACTAATATGATGGCAAATCACAATTTTGCTTTAAGCCCCACTGCACTACTTATAGCTAATTGCGCCCTCTATATAGCAAACAATGCCTTAACGGTGCCTGTTGGTCCCTCATGATTCCCTTTTTCTTATGTTAATTGAGAGCTGATTTGATGAGATAACCACCTGTCAGTGACCTTGCAGGGAGGTATAATCCCTCCTGGCCAAACTAGTGCTGACAGGCTTTAAAGTATCCAGTAGAAACATAAGATGAAACCCAGACATAAGTGGTCATAATGAGATTTATTTGGCAGTTTTGAGGGTGGAGTTGTCTTGTAATTGTAAAAGAATATATATAAGGTTATTTGTTCCTACATCCTCCATCTAACTTTAGTGGTGGCCTTGATAGAGAGTCTTCATCATGCTCTTTAATCCTTAACCATTTAAATGTCTGACATACATGTACATATAGTTCTTTGGGGCTGATTTCAAATGTTTTCTTATTCTAATAATATCTACATAGATTATTTCTTTTGGAGACAAGCTAGCCACATCATCAAATACCTAGGGTTATTTGAAACTTTGGGGCTGATTTTAAATGTTTTCTTATTCAAATAATATCTACATAGATTATTTCTTTGGTGACTGATCCCCTCTAAATACCAATCAATTTCAATGGCATTTTGAAAACAACGCTTCACTGATATATTTTAAAAAAAAATCAGTACATGTACATGTGGGGATCACACACTTCAATAACGTAGCTGTACTGCATTCTAAGATCGGCATGCACTGATGCAGAATACTTACATGTCATGTCTTCAATATTTGGTGTGAGGAATTGGTAGGCACCGAGATACTCCTGCTTACACTTGCCGCCATGCAGCTTGAACCACTTCCTATCTGCAAGGGCCGAGATGAGAACAGCTATCACCACCATCCCTAGAATGGAGGCGACCAGGTTCCTTTCCGTCTGCTTGGGTCTCAGGCGGTGTCTTCTCCTGTGGCGGTGGTGATGGGTGTGATTCGATCGACTCCTGCGAGATGAGCTCCCTGAGCTACGGCCTGAAGATGGCATCTGAGGAAGGCAGGTGTCCCAAAAGAACAATATGAGTCATGATTAATGATGGAGAATCTTGTCTGTAAAATATCTTTGATGCAACTGTTTGGTAGCAAAGGCATTGCTAGAGACTTACATACACCCATTAATTTTTAAGATATCCCAAATTATCTAAACATTTTCATAAATTATCACTGATGGAGCAGTTCTATGATACATTCCTCATGGCCACTTTAAGAGCTGGAGACAAGCCATCCACATCAGCAGATATCCAAGCGGCCCGTTTCTCGAAACCTTCATTAGTCTTCTTGACTATCCCATTGAAATGTGTGTTAAACAATTAACACGCGTTTCAATGGGATAGTCAAGAAGTTAGACTTGTGAATTATGACTTCTAGATCAACAAACCCAAAAAAAATTAGATACTACCTGCACTATTAAAATAAAGACCCTGTTTCTGACAAAGAGGCGGCTCACTCAAGATTTGTCTGGCGCGGGAATGGGTGATCACGAACGCATTTTAGTTTTTACTTCACATAGGCTTAGGTTTTGTTTACATCTCTCTTCACACAGGGTACGGGTGCTGATCAACAGTAGGGGAGCTGGTCCGACAATAAGGATCTTCTTCATAAATGCGGACAGACGTGTCCGCATGAATAAGGATCATCCGCTTTTTTGCAAACGTTTCAAATTTCCAATACACGCATTGGCAATGCAAACGATGGATTCCGCGACGATTTTCTTGATGCATTTTACATTGACTTTGTACGGAGACTTTCACGTTATGAGCAATAAACCCTTGGGAAGGTGGACAACCAGTAAAAGTAGATGGTGAACCCGGCCCCCCCACTCAGAGGTCGGAATGACCGCATGCGTGTTGCCAAAATGTCCGGTAAAGGGGTACTTTTCGTGCGACAAAATCCGGCCCGAGATTTGTGAAAAAAGGGGTGTATTTGACTTTTCACCCGGAGATTTCTTTAAAAAGGGGGTGTTTTTCTTTTTCTCTCTCATCTCTTTGGACTCCTGAGAAATTATTCCGAATTTAGGGGGGTACATTGAGCATTTTTCCTGATTTAGGGGGGTCTCCAAGGCAGGAAAAGCCCGCGAAAAGCCCGCGAAAAGCCCGCGAAAGGGGGGTTCGGAAATGTTGGCAGTCCTCAGATAGGGGGTGCTTTCAAAAAGAGGGTACGAGCATATGCGTACCCTAAATAACACAGAGTGGGGGAGCCGGGAAGGTGAACAGGGGTTATTTTCTTACTAGGAATCTGTTTTTCGCATCGCCAGCATGCGGTTCGCGTTCGGGAACCTGTAACCCGAATTCCGCAGAGCGCCAATGATAAAAAATGTCCTCGAAAATGCAGACGATCCTTGTTTTTATCCTCGTTTATGCGGACGATCCTAATTTTTGGAACAGCGCCCTTATCAAGGCTGGGTGATATTAAAATCAATTTATCATGATTCATACTATCAGTATCACCAAGCTCTTAAGGATGTATTGAAGCTTTCGGTCAGCAACAACACTTGCTCACCTATTCACACACCCAGCCAGTCATCACTGTCACTGTCACTGTGTCTCAGCTCAGCTAGGCGCTCGCTCACATTCACAATGCATGGTACCGTACGGTCGGGTACACACCGTATAGTGCAGTGTCAACCCGTGACATCTCACATTCACAATCATAAACACAAACATTATTTTGTCAAGTTACCTTTCCTGATGATATCTGATGTTTTTATGACAAAGTTATTGATCCCATCTAGTTCTACAGCTTTCTCAGTATATTTATGAATAAAGGGTGGTAGTATATGGTTTCCAAAACAAGCAATATGACTCACTTTGTGTCGCTTCTTCCTCTTTAGTTCGCTGCTGATGTTTTCATGAATTGCCTAATTGTTCTCTATATTTTGGCTGGAGATGGCAGTAGACTAGACTACTTTTTTCGGATTTCATAGTTTTTTTTCCAAAGAGAAAGATCGACAGGTTATTTTCAAAATAGCAGGTACAATGAGAGAGCAATTAAAAGGAAAAAGTTTCGGATCATTGACTCATGACCATTGGCCTTGCTTTCGGTTACTAACTGTTAGACAAAAAGAAATGTTGTGGGAATGGGAAATTCATCGATAAAATGGGAAGATGAAAATGTCTATTAATTATTCGCCCATAGGTCTACTAAACATCAACAAAGTTGTGAACAGGATATGAAAACATAATTAAATTGTAAGTAACAAACGTACCGTGTTTACTGACTAAAAGATTAAAAAAAAATAATGATAAAATAATAATAATAAAATACGTCTGATGCGAAGGGAAGTAAGTCTACCTGACAACATTTTCCGCGGCAATGTTCCAAATAGTTTAGTCAGAGTATAATGATTGCAAATAACCCCATGATTTCTATTTACCTTTAATTTGTTTAAAGATGTATCTATCATTAACATGTATAATTATCACTATTTGAGGGATCCACATTCTACAATCCCTGTCTTACAGTGGGTTCCTCCATTTCCATAGTTTCCCTTTAAACCCCCCCCCCCTCCCCCCCAAAAAAAATCACACCATGTGTATTCCATTTCTTTTGTAAATCGATAATTAAATTCATGATTTTCAAAATGCATAGTACTATGTACATTAATTTCTTTAATTGATTTTGTCATAATCATTGTTCTGTTGGAAATGAAAATGAAGTAAAACTGATTGTAAAAATGTATTTATCTATTAAAAATCTTACTGTGATCTATCTGGTTCGATGAGCTGCCGCCGCGAGGCATACTTTCCTCATTACCAAGTCCCTCGTATACCTTTAACATAAAGTAACAGGTCCATGCACTGCATGGTTGCCTAGCTATAACCAAGAAGAAGAAGAAGAAGAAGAAGAAGAAGAAGAAGAAGAAGAAGAAGAAGAAGAAGAAGAAGAAGAAGAAGAAGAAGAAGAAGAATTAAGAAGAAGAAGAAGAAGAAGAAGAAGAAGAAGAAGAAGAAGAAGAAGAAGAAGAAGAAGAAGAATTAAGAAGAAGAAGAAGAAGAAGAAGAAGAAGAAGAAGAAGAAGAAGAAGAGAAGAAGAAGAAGAAGAAGAAGAAGAAGAAGAAGAAGGAGGAGGAGGAGGGAAGGAAATTAGAAGGAGAATCAGAATTCGACATGTCAACTCGATCTGTTTGGTATCCTTCTTGCAAAATGTCAATAATGTATTATTTGATATTTGATTTAAAAAGAAGAAATAGTTATACTGACACCGAATTGCAATTTTATCCCCCTTTCTGACAAAACATATAGGAACGCCTTTATATCATTCAGAAGTCAATGGGTTCAAGTATATCTGGTCAAAATAAAATGTGGGAAAAGATTTGTTGATTTGTTGATTTACAATTCATTTGTAAGCCTCTTTTCCAGTAGGCCTACTATATAATTTTTTCGTCGAAGAAGAAGGAGGAGAAGATCAAGAAGACGAAGAAGAAGTAAAAAAAAAGAAGATGAAGAAGAAGAAGAATTTAAGAATGATAATAGTAAAAACAATGATAATTATAATAAATGCAATGATGACAATACTAATAATGAAAAGAAGATGAAGAAGAAGAGGAGGGGAAGGAGAAGAAAATAAGACTGGGACTATTGTCTCCCTTTCCCACTTCGCCGTAATTGATAGTGTAAACACTGTCAGCGGAGGTCGAAGTAGAAGCGTTACCGCCCCTTCCCAGACTAGTGTGTGATTTGCATACTGTATCCAAGGCCCGTTACTACGTGACGCGAAGCTAGGGCTTTGATACCACGCGTGAGTTTGTGTACATTTTCAACATCATCGGCTCTTGACTTTCCAAGATTATTTAAATAATAGAATATCGGTGAATTCATCAATTTGGTTACACATTGCAAGGAGATGACCCAACAGAGTTGACATGTCAATTTTCTAGCACATTCGTCGACCAGAAAGTGTGAAAATGGTGGATATTCAATACGGTAAGTTGAGATGAAGCGCTGTAAATAATATACGCCGGATGTCGTGCAACAGGTGTATTTCACACATCGATCCCCCTGCACTTCCCGGACCCTTCACCGGCTGGCTGGCTAGCCATGTAGCTGTGCGGTCCGCATCCTTGCGCTGTGGTTTGTCTGTTGCAATCATGCCATGCATGTGAATGCGTGTTTCTTTGTGTTGTGGTTTCCATGCATCGACTTGATATCATTAATGTTTACTCTTAATAGATCTAGTAATACATTTTTTTTTTGGTCATGACTCAACAAACTGTAGATCTAGTCATAGACTAGGGTCTAATTATATATAGTCTACACCATGAAGCGGCACTTAACAGTGGCGTACCTGGGGTACTCCGTCAGGGGGGGCAAGCGACCGAAACAAACAAAAAAGGCGATGCTAATTTTCACTTCTGGCGAGCGAGCGAGCAAAAAAAAATCTTTAAGTAACGTTTGGTATATAAACTGGTATTGTTGCAAGTTGGGGTGGGAACATTCACTTGTTAGCGACGATAATTTCATTTTTTTGCAAACGAGCGTAGCGAGCAAGAAAAAAATCACTCCTTTTTTAATAATTGCCACTTAAACTTGGTTCAATTGTCCCATGCAGGGCGCGGGAACAATATTGTGTTTAGGGTGATTTCATACCCATTTTAGCTAGCGAGCCTAAATACATCTTTCTCTCAATGAATTGCTATATAAAATTTGTTTCATTGTTGCAGGTCGGGGGCGGGCACAATCTTGTTTTAAGGCAATGTCAATCCCATTTTGGCGGGCAGGCAACCGCCTACATTTCTCTTTTTAATGATATTGTAGCAGGTTAGTGGTGGGCACATAATTCCACGAGCTCGCGAGCGAAAAAAAAATCACTTCTCGTTTATAGGGAAAATATGGTACATAAAACTTAGGTTCATTGTTCCATGTCAGGAACGTGATTATTAAAAGCGGTGTTATTTCTATTTTGGCGAGCGAGCGTAGCGAGCGAGCGAAAAAAATCACTTCTCGTTCATTGTTCCATGTCAGGGACGTGATTATTAAAAGCGGTGTTATTTCTATTTTGGCGAGCGAGCAAAAAAATCACTTCTCTTTTGTAGGGAAAATATGGTACATAAACTTTGGTTCATATTTCCATGTCAGGGACGTGATTATTAAAAGCGGTGTTATTTCTATTTTGGCGAGCGAGCGTAGCGAGCGAGCAAAAAAAATCACTTCTCTAATTTTATAGGGAAAATATGGTACATAAACTTGGGTTCATTGTTCCATGTCAGGGACGTGATTATTAAAAGCGGTGTTATTTCTATTTTGGCGAGCGAGCGTAGCGAGCGAGCAAAAAAATCACTTCTCTTTTATAGGGAAAATATGGTACATAAACTTTGGTTCATTGTTCCATGTCATTTCTATTTTGGCGAGCGAGCGTAGCGAGCGAGCAAAATTTTTGTCATGATAATTGGTTCATAAATTTCAGATTTTTGTTGTTGCAGGGCAGGGCTTACACAATCATGTCTAAGGTGATGTTAATTCCGTTTTGGCGAGCACGAGCACACCAAAACTTCTTTGAATAACGTTTGGTACGTAATCATTAACTGGTTGTTGCAGGTTGGGGCGGGCACGTTAGCGGTGTCAATTCCATTTTGGCGAGCGAGCATAGCGAGCAAGCAAAAAAAAAATTCTCTTTTAATAGAAATTAATAAATAAACTAGTTTTTATTGGTGCAGGTCAGAATGGACGCAATCGTGTTTAACGCGATTCAATTCCTTTTTGGCGAGAGGGCGTAAAAACTCTTCCATTTTTAATGATATTGTTGCAGGTCAAGGGTGGGCACAATTGTTTCCAAAGCAATATCTATTCATTTTATTCGCGAGCGAGTGTAGCGAGCGAGAAAAATGAATTACTCTCTTTCAGTAACATTTGGTTCATACACTGTGTGTTATTGTTGCCATGGTTGCAGGTCGGGGCCCGTCGGGGCAGGCACAATTGTACTCTAGGCAATGCTAATCCTTTTCTTTTTTCAGGGGGACGAGCAAGTGAAAACATTTAATACAAAATAGGCTAGCAAGCAGTTCGCGCCAGCGAAGAGTTTCGAATTTGTTATATAACTTATATTTTCCTATTTTCATTTGTCTAAATTTTTCAGGGCCGTATAAGGAATATTTTTCTGGTGGGGGAGGGGGAAAGATGCGTTAAAAGTTTTCGGAGAATCTCAAAAGCAAAAGGAGTGAAGGGAGTTCGAGCGACCGAACTGGTCATGAGGGTACTTTTGCATTTTCAAAAGTAGAATTGAAGGATTTGGTATAGGCCTACACTACATTTTCAGGAAAAAACTGTACGTTTTCAAAATATCTGGGGTCAACTGCCCCCCCCCCCTGGTGCGTACGGCCATGGTCTTTTTTTTTTAATTTCCCCATTTTTTTCCTTTCCTTTTCTTTTCCCTTTTTCTTCCTTTTCTCTTCTTCTTCCTTTTTTCTTTCCTTTTCCTTTTTTTCCTTTTTTCTCTTTCTTTCCTTTTTTTCTTCCCTTTTCTTTTTTCTTTTTCTTTCCTTTCCTTTTTTTCTTTTCTTTCCCCTTTTTCTTTTTTTCCCCTGGAGCCCGTCAGGGGGGGCACTCTGCCCCCCCTGCCCCCCCCGTAGGTACGCCAGTGGCACTTAACTGGAAGAACTGTTGTATTGGAGCAATGATAGTTGATACAATAAAATGTAATGCTCTAGTCCAAACCATGTAAACAGGTCTAGGCCTATACAGATTATCATTTTCATGATTTTATCACTATACTATATAGTCGGACAGTCCAAGTCAACCACTCCTAGGCCTACTCAGATCTACAATGTGTGATGTCTAACCATAATAAGTAACCTCTTAACATTGTGAGTCTTATCAGTCTAGCATTAGACTTTAAGTTAAAGTTTAAGAGGCATTGCTAGACCACATTTTTATAGGAGGTATCAGGATGTACTTATTGTAGTCAACAAGTTGGTCAACAAAATCTCCAATGAAAGTCCCTATATAATGGGGATAATGTCATACCTCCTCCATACCCCTATCAATCCATCTGGAAGCATATGACATTGTATCAACATAAAAAATACATACATATATATACCAAAGGAATTTAATACAAAAACTTCAGAATGCAGGCTTAAAGGACAAGTCCACTCCAAAAATAACTTACACTGTACTTTCAATAGAAGCAGAAAAATAAGGCAAACCAATAATAAAAAGTAAGAGCAAAATCGGATAACTAATAAGAAAGTTATGAACTTTTGAAAAAGTATGTAAAACTATGGAACAATGAAAAGCACAAGACAAATTGGGAACTCACCCATCAGTCTGTGACTCATGTCCTCACTATCAACTAATTATTTTCTTTATGTTGATAATATGAATTTTCTATTTCCCCCCTCAAAAATCTTATTTCTTCACACCAGCATCCAAGTTAGATTAATAGTAGGCCCTAATATGTTTTTGTGTGGATGCACTAATATAGAGTAGTTTTTCCAGTTAGATTATGAAAAATTTGAATTTTTATGAAATATTAATAGAAAAGTCAATAGCTTCAGTTTATTGGCTAAATATCAATAATTACAAGTAATTTACAATCCATTTACAACTGTACTAAGAATTTGCGATCAATAAAACATTTCTTGTTAAATGTTGCCTGGTTGCTATCTTCAGCTAAGTTTTTGTAACGCTATACTTGACAAAAAAGTAAAACAAAGAAAGAAGAAAATAATGACTCCTACCCAGATCCATCCAAAAGATATTTGATATAGCGCCTTTTCCTTGCAGCTACAAAGCGCTGCACACACGCTCCACATTGTTTGGGCCTCTTAAAAACAAAAGTTAGACACTTCTCAGCATCAGTCAAGTATGAAGTATATGTAGGCTGGTGATAAAGTAATTTCTAGCAGAATAGATGTGACTTGAGTAAAACTGTATACACTGGCCGGGCTTCTTCATATATCATATATGCATATCTTAAAGAATAGTAATAGGTGCCTATATTTGACATTTTCAAGTTCAGTTACAACTGACTAACAGGATTGTGTCTCAACTTACCTTTAAAAAGAGAGAAAAAGTTTGGAAAGATATTAATATCGTGCAGCAATGTATGATGAATAACTTTTGACACTTCTTTGCTATATTTGTCTGTGCACAGATCAATATTCTATTTTTTTGCTCCAAACTTAACTGATGCGGAAGTGATTTTTTGTTTGTTCAATGTACAATAAAATGCTGCTTTTAAATGCAAGCTTTAAATAGATCAGACTGAAGAAAAAAAAGAAAAAAAGAATATGCTCACTCTGATGAGCAGGGGTGGAGCCAGGATTGTCGAAAAGTAGGATGGGGCCAAATTTGTTCGAAGGAGGATGAATATCAGGTACATGCCCATGCAATAGGGGGGGGGGGTTCACTTCTTATGCACTGTTATTAGAGAGAGAATTGTATCACAGCCTGCATAACAAGAAGATAGTTAGATTCAAAGTGATAAATTTGGCCTTAGTTTGGCCAGTTTGGCCATAAAATCTCAGTCTTTGTACTAAAGTCCACAATCTGCAAACAGAACCCATTCAGTACGTTGCCACCCAAGGGTTTCTGTTTTGTGCCAACCCGTTGCCATCCTAATTTAATCCCCTCATTGGCATTGCGGCTCACACCTGCATATTTTTTTTCTCCAGAATTGTTGAAGTACTGATACTCAAAGGAATATTCTCTGCTTAAATCATAATTCCTCATGGTAATCTGTGACTACATGTGCATGTTTTTCACTAGGAGTGTCATGGCATTTGGACACTGAAAAATTGGGTTCCATTGTCATGTGCGGCCATCATACTGTACTTGTATGTATGTGATGCCAGGGATTTGATGCTTTTCATAACTTTGTGGGAATTTTGCTTGGAAAATGGAGAGGAAATTAGTCAGGAAACAGAAATCAAAGCGCAAGGCCAAACGAAAAGGTATGAGTTTCATTTACCACATTATTTTTTTTCTTCTTAAAAGTAACTTAATATTCTATTAGGAAAATGTTGCAATTCAAGATAGCGGTACCTTTGGAAATCAAGTCTTTACACATATACATTGTATACATCGTCGCTGTTTTCACGAAGTGACGGTAGTGAAAAAAAATTGCATTCACTTTGCGTGACGATTTTCCTCACTACCATCACTTCGTGAAAACAAGGACGACATGTACATACACAGCCATGGGCAAGGTGCTTTCACAAATGAAACATGTTTTTAAGGAAGAATCATCAAAAAAATTTAGAGGACAGATATACATGCACATTGTCTTGAAGAGAGAAACATGTTCAAATTTAAAATACTAACAAGATACATAAGTTATAATTTTATTGATGCTTAGAATTTACTAACAAATTATCCTCTCTAAAAGGAATAGTCCAAACAATAATTCTCGGAATATACACAGTGAGTTACTACAGTGTGTATTTTCTGCCATAGACCAAATACATGGATCACTATATCTAGGTTTAATTACTGATTTTTTCAACTCAATGTATCTGGAACTTGTTGTCAAAACATGTGTGTTCCTGTTTGTGGATTAATATATCAACATATTCTAAAAATACACAGTTGAGTTATCATTTCCTGCCGCAAACCAACTAAATACATGTATCACGTCTCTACGTGGAATATGTAGCAAAGGTTAATTACTGAATTTCAACTGAATTTCAACTGAATACATTTGGAACTTCTTGTCATAACTTGTGTTCCTGTTTATCAATTGGATACTTGCATATCATACATTTTATTCTCTGGCACTTTTTGTTTCCAGATTTTTTACGAGTTCTAAATTCAACAATTAAATGTGCATGCATCACCCAATTTAATATATGTGTAAAGTAGTATTTATTTCCATAGAAAAGCATATACAATGTAACAATATAACAATACAAAATAAGATAACAAGGAATCTTTCCTTCACATAGTGAATAGACATATTATAAAGACGTGAAAATCGTGGCCCAGGACGTTGACATTACTCAGGCAGGGCCTAACATGTAAACATATACATACAAACATATATACATGTACTTGTTCTAAGATCATTAGCAGTCAGAAGTATCAGTTATAATATGAAAAATTAATTATGGGGTTCGTTCAATCTAAAAATATAATAATATTTATGTAATGTAGAACGTAATGGTAAAGTTTAGCGGAGAAGGAGGATGAAGTGGGAAAAGGGAGGAAGAGAGACATAGCAAAGGAGAGAGACGGAGAGAATGAATTTACAACAGATTTCTTGATTGCATCTCACGGAGAATAAGCTGTATCGTATTATACACACATTTGTTATAAAAGTTGACTTATCATTATTTAAAGAGTTCTCATGAATTTTGTATTTTGTTAAATTTTCACATACAGGTAGGATCATACATGTAACTTACAATATATTTGTCTCGAGTTCAACACTACATTTGTTAAAATATTCTGATTCATCAAATTAAAATAACAAAAAAAAGAAGAAGAGTAATGAATTTGAAAATCTATTGCCATTCCATGAATGTGTAACATTTGCTTCATAAGCACTGTTTTTATTATCATTATTATGTCGCTAAGCAAACTGCTTTCCAAGCACACCCTTCTGATGGTTGCTAGGATCTATTGCATAAGTGCTATAGACTCGTTATAGTTTGCTTATCACTGTAATAATAGATCTTTTCTGTTCCCTTCCTGGACAATAAAAGGCATTAAAAAGGGGGGCCTAAGTATAAGAAATTCTTATTCACCCCCTACCTCTGTCAATAAAAGAAATGTTGACCAAACAGACACACTTCAAAGGCAGAGGACCCTTCAAAGCGATCTTATCCAGAATTTCAACAAAAGATGAGTAGGGCTTCAAAGGGAAGAGCGTGCTGGGGGTAGCTTGTGGGTACCGGAGCAGAGAGTTTCTTTTAAGTGATAACCATGCTCTAGTGCTTTCTAGTCGATGGTATACAAGTGTTCAGAATGTGGGCACAATAAAATACCAGAGCCTTTAGTATATATTATCAGCATCTGATCTATGTTTCATTGATCTAACTAATACATTATTCATATACAACAGGTTTACATTATTCATGTTGTGAATAATGAATGTAAACAACAATTACTTACCACTGATCTGATGTAGACTGTGACGACAGTTCAATAGTTTTTTCTCCATTCCATGTGCTAATTAAGGCATGTTTTCTTTCATCATTATTCGGGTACACAATACTGTACTTTTAAGTACATCTATGTAAGATAGCAAAACACTTTTAGTAAAGTTAAGGAGTGAAAGAGCCCGGCCCCCCCACTCAGGTTTCAAAATGACCGCATGCGTGTTGCCAAAATGTCCTTTTCGTAACAAAAGAAAAAGGTCGAGCCGTATTGACTTTACACACCGGACTTTTGCTGAAAAGGGGGGGTGCGGAAAAAGGCTCGTATACAAAAGAAAAAGGTCGAGCCGTATTGACTTTACACACCGGACTTTTGCTGAAAAGGGGGGGTCGGTTGGAACACGCATATGCGTACCCTAAATAACACTGAGTGGGGGGGCCGGGTGAAAGAGCAATTAAAGTGAAGGTAAGATGTCATAAGATGAATTCAGATTGACCTGTAACTATATAACTTCTAAAAATGAGTCCCTTTCATATGTACAGTATTCATTAGTCTGAATAAAACTATCAGTTTTGTCATGTAGACATTTCTCTTTGGTGATTGGATGTGTCTTCCTGATAGTTAATCATTTTAATGGGAAGACATGTGAAAATATATTACCTATAGTCTTTTGAATTATGATTAAAAAATGACCAGAGATATATTGAGTAATTTTAACATAGAATGAAGAGAAAATTTATTTCCCAACCAATGGGAAATTCTCCATCTACATGTATATGATTGACGATCTCAACTTTCAAAAACTATCAACTTTCTTATCCTCTGTTTGATTTATCTGAAACCTTATTTTGTTTAAAGTTTTCTGCTGCTATATACTCAGATCAGCTTGATATGGAGGGTTAAGCATTTTTATATAAAGCAATTCATAACTAAACATATGTGTGAAGGAAAAAAAAATGATTATGACTACATGTATATAGTGAATAAAAAAAGTTTAAACTCAACTATAATAGCCCCTGACTAACTTTCATTTATCCTTGGCTGAGAAATAGCTCTACCAAGTGGGTGGGTTTTGTGATGATCAATTTCTAGCTTCGATATCAAGCCGTTTATAAAGCCTTGAAATCGTCAGCACAATGCAGACCAACATGTCCAGTTGATCTAAGTTTATGTTTTCAAAGATATGTACATCCAAATTGACCTTAAACGATCAGGGGGCAAAAACAACAAACGTTTCAGTAAGGATTCATTGCCATTGAAAGGAGTGTCTGAGCAGCTGTCAATCGAACATGTTTAATTGATCAAAAGGATCAATACTTGTTCCGTGCAGATCTATAGTGAGCCCTCGTTGGCCGGTAGTCATCATCAGTCGGATAGTTGCTAGCTCTTCTGTGGTTGGCGATCATTTGTAGTAGTGACTGCTGTCAGGAAAGGATCGTTTAGAAGAACTTTACTCTTGTTTGTTTTTCTCCCGTTCCAAGTCCAACAAATAGTTTGTTCTCAAGAAAATAAGAGGAATTTGAGGATTTATTTTCTTTAGTAAAGAACAGCAGATGATAATGAGTAAGTACAGTGTAACTGTTGATTTTAATTTCGGGATAGAAGATGGCCAGAGAAGGGGAAATTATGGAAACATTGACTTAATATCTACATGTATATTGTATACCGTTTGTTCTTTAAGTGTGTTCCATATTATGATGATATAAACTACATGAATATTGTGTTATTTCATACAGTTTGAGACTCAAACATGATAACTGTTAAAATTCTTGTTTCCATAACAACAATTAGTTTAAATTCACATACTGTAGGCTAACTTTTTCAAAGTTATCTTCTTTCCTTTTTGTGTTTTATAATTTTGTATTGTTTTTTCCTTTAAAAAAGGATTGATAATTTCTATGAATTTGTAATGGGGTTAAACAAGAAAATTTTTCTTTCTTTACTACTTTCTTTACATCTACATGTACATGTAATCTTACACAACAGTTAGCATTTTATCATATATTTCATATCTACATGTACTTGAGTACTTCAGTACCTGCTTGAACATACAAGCATGGTTTTATCTAGCCCTGCATGGATATCTAAATGAATGATTTCTATTTTTGTGGTTGCTATGCAATTCAAATGCAACCCTAGAACACAATGATCTACATTTTCCAACTGTGATTCATATGATTATATTGCAAGTTTCTGAATATTGTAATCATATAGAGCCAGAATGATATTTTATGGCTTTTACTAATTTATTATGAAAGATACTAATTCCCTAATAGAAATGACAGTACATTCAAATGTAATCAGGAAAAAAGCACCTTGAAATTGGGTACCGGCCAAGCACACTGAGCTGAATTACCAGCCCAATTTGTACATTAAATTGACATTACTGTATCAATGATTACAAGAAGAGATGATTAGGAAAGGTGAGTTGACTCACAAGTATGCCCCTGAGTTGACATTGTACTATGATAATACTATTTACTTGACCTGTAAATAGATTGAAGTGTTATATCTTCAGTAATGACATTATAATGAATTTTAGGTAACTTTTGCATTTCAAACCATTGAATTATTTTCAGTCATGACAAAATCATTAGAGCTACCCAGCGGGCAAATAGGCCAGATTTTGTAATAATTCAAATCTAATGCACAAATCTTTGACCTGTAAATAGATTGAAGTGTTATATCTTCAGTAATGACATTATAATGAATTTTAGGTAATTTTTGCATTTCAAACCATTGAATTATTTTCAGTCATGACAAAATCACTACAGCGTGCAAATAGGCCAGATTTCGTAATAATTCAAATCTAATGCACAAATCTTTGACCTGTAAATAGATTGAAGTGTTATATCTTTAATGACATTATAATGAATTTTAGGTAACTTTTGCATTTCAAACCATTGAATTATTTTCAGTCATGACAAAATCACTACAGCTACCCAGCGTGCAAATAGGCCAGATTTCGTAATAATTCAAATCTAATGCACAAATCTTTGACCTGTAAATAGATTGAAGTGTTATATCTTCAGTAATGACATTATAATGAATTTTAGGTAACTTTTGCATTTCAAACCATTGAATTATTTTCAGTCATGACAAAATCACTACAGCTACCCAGCTTGCAAATAGGCCAGATTTCATAATAATTCAAATCTAATGCACAAATCTTTGTTTACTACTTAGCTCCTCGTTTACAAACTAGCTCCTCGTTTACAAACTATTTCAGTCACCTAGTTACGAATAATTGTATTTCAAAAGTTAGAATGAGAATCGCAGACATTACATGTTGTTAGGTAAGACAAGCTATAATGTCTGTCCAACCTAGCAACAGTTAATGTATGCATTTCGCATTCTAACTTTTGAAATACAATTATTTGTAACAGGTGAATGAAATAATTTGTAACATGGCACTAATTAACAAAAATCTCTGACAGTTTTAAGGGGAAAAGGTATAAGACTTTGTGCAGTAATAGCAATAAATGACATGGTAAGAGGAGTGCTTTAAAAACTAGATCTCCTTTACATTATTTACTGTACATGTATGTTGGCAGATTAGGCTGTTATTTCTTTAAAAAAATTCTTCTTCAAACTGCATTTTTGAAGTTATAACAACTTTAACATTTGAGCTATTCCGTGTGTAGGTAATGAATTGCAACACATTTCTTCCATATAAGCATCTAGAAGTGAAATGTATTAAACGGTCAACAATAAACAGCCACCACGTGTCCAGTCACCTCCGCTGACCATTGATACATCAATTAGACAATAGAAACGTGTAGCTGACCCATTGTAAGGGGCTTGTTAAATCAATGTTAAAGTCAATACTCCCTGACCGCTCCCCATTGTCTGGTGTATCGACTGATACGGCACGCTGCACCTGCATCTCTAGGCTGTTGCCAGGGTAACGATCAAGCAGTGCCCGCAGGCTTATTGCGTAAATGCCTTGTATGATTTTCCGGACATGTGTTTTTCTTTTATCTTGTGGTGTGCAAGTATCGATTGATCATCTCGATTCAGTAGATTCGATTTAGATTTGATTTTATCATCTTGCGCAAGATGTTTGGTTTGATCATCAAGAGATGTATCAAATCTTTTCTCGCATCGCCTCGAGTTTCCGTTTGCGTCAGAGATATAGTTTGTTCAGAACCAGAAGAGCATTAGATCTCTGTCATGATTTCAAGCCCTTCTGGCTACAAACGGACAAATTACAAGCTCCTCCATTTCTGAGTTGTTGCATGATTCATGCTCTTTTTTTTTCTTTTCCAAAAGAGTGTGGTGGATAGTCTGTCTACTTGATGGTTTGGAAAACAAAACTACCTACAATATTTATAAAGAGAAAAAAAGAGGCTGAAGATATTATTGTAAAACCTTTCTTCAGAGAAGATGATACACATCTGTCTGAAGCTGAAGAATTTGATTTAAAAGGTACCCCTGATCTAGAAAAATAGCCAGTATGAAAAAATGACCCAGAAGTTTCTTTTATATTAACAGATACATGTATGATGTTCAAGTTTGACACTTGAATTAAGACCAAATACTTGAGAGTATGATGTATCCTCTCATATCACACTTAATGATAATCATTCTTCTTCAAACTTCAATGAAGAATACAATACATGTATCTTAAACTCCTTTTCATTACTCAATTTGATTAATGGTCTCCTCCAAAACTGAGGAGATTGTGCCAATTTTGGCAAAATAGTTTGAACAAATTGCATGCACACAGTAAATTTGCAGCACATTCTATCAGTATATTAACAATTTAGCTTCATGACTTTTGAATAAATGGATTTATATTTCTTATCTTTCTCTTTTCTCTAGCTCCTGTCCAGGAGAATTCAGACGGTCTCTCTGAGACACAAAGGTTAGTACAATTTTGTTCTGGTTCTTTCCCTATTTCGCTATTTTGAACAAACTATATTCTGAATGTTTTTGCAATATATTTTCATTGCAAAAAAAAAAAAGCAGGTGCGAAAACCCTCTATGTAAAGTCTTATATGTATATCATTTAAAAGAAATTCTCCTCAAAGATTATCTTATTTCTAGTGATAAAATAGCTCTTGAAATGTCTCAGGGGAAAAAAATTAAACTACATTAGCATTAATAAAGAGTGAATTTTGTCTATCAAGATTATAATAAAAAAATATTATGGCATTCAACATTTCCTTATTACTGTGACATTTGAATTAGTAATAAAACTGAAATAATAGAAAATTTTTAAAGATAAATCTACTAAAACTCATACTCATGCAGTATAGGTAAAAAATAACCTTCAATCTCTCACCATAATACATATTGCTTTTTGATGTGTTGAATTACAGGGACAGATTTACCTACCTATCAGGGCACAAGAACTCAAAGGCAATATGGCTAACAAGCTTCGGGTATGATCCATTCTCACAGTTTTTTTTAAATCTTTACTTCAAATAATAGTTATGAATGATGATGATGATTATCTTGATTTATCAAAGTCAGTATTTTCCCTCTTACAAGGAGTTACTGACTTTTGTGACATGATGAAACTCCCTCCCTCCACTTTATCTGATACAAAGAAATATAGTCTATACCCTCACGATTACTAGTGACAACATTGTTCATTTATTTACATACATGTGTGTGTAAAGTTAAAAACTGAATTATTCATACCCCTTGTAAATTATATGTTTTTTCTCATATATTTTTGTAACTCAAGAATGAGAGATGGACCGTTTGAATTAGGTCCTTTCTTGAATACTTTTAGATGTAAGCTTTGATATGTCACATTCTCAAGAAACATTAATTGGGAAAAATCAATTTTTCATATACTCAATTAAATAATTACAGAACTTGTTATTAAAGGGTATGAATCATTTAGTTGTTAACTGCATGATGCAATAAGTGACATAATTTGTTTAGTGGAACAAAAGTTTTCTGGTACTTCATCACAGTGACACTGCAGATTCAGCCAATTTGAAGTTCCCATACTTATAGTGATTATGGTACAACTTTCAATTTGTTTTTATATTTATAACTTGCTCATTTTTGGTCTGATTTCATTTAAACTTTCACAAGTCTGATTCCCTGATTATTCTTCTTTCTTCTAGAGTAGTTTACAATTAAGGATGGATTTCCCTTTGTAGAAATTAACAACCTGTCAGTGTCCAAATTATTCATCAACATGATACCTTTTAGAAATGGGTTTGTTCAACTTTACTTAGATATAGGCAGCTTGAGAGGAGAGACTTTTGGAAGTGCACATTTTGAGTAAAAAACAAAATAGTTATGTTCGAAAACTTTAAATTGTTCTTGATTTGATTTGTGGCAGGCCCAAGCTAGAATGGGGCAATCAGGACACGATGTGGCCAGTCAGCAAGGGGGCCATGACTACCAACGCAACCCCCAGGACAGAAGAACTCTCTTCACCCAAGAAGAACTTCAGAAGTAAAAAAGATGGCAAAATGTAAGTTGTTTGTTCACTAAAAAATAAAATATTTTTAGTTTCTTTAAAAAAAATATTGAACCAGTATAATGAGATTTTTCCCAAATAGCTTTTATGAATGACACATCACATTGTTTATTTCAAATCATTGGATGAAATAAATAACTCTTATTTGTCCATATAGTTTGTCATTTGTTTTGTCATATTTTATGACAATGTACATCTATCTTACAAATGATCGTAAATGTAAAATGTGCAATGAACTCCTTTTGATGTACCGACACTGGTGGAATTTTGAATAATTTCTTTAAAAGCATTTAAATATCCTAACTTGATAGTTTTCTCTTGAATTACTAGTCTTATGATCTAGCTTTGAAATTTGCTTTCATTTCATGTATTTGAAAGATGTCCACCTGAAAATTGATGATGAAAAATCTATTGAGTTATGAAGATGCAGACCAAGTTGATCAATTTTGAAACATTGACCTGGTGGAAGATGATAAATAGATTCATACATGACGATGCCTTCATCATTTTCTCGTTATTATTTTGTCCTTCTGCAGGAGTAATCATGTATACAGCTGCGGCAGAAACTCTGTCATCTGGGATGTCAGTCCTCTAGCTATGAAAACATCTCCATCAGAAAGGCTAGAGACTTTATCAGTTTATAAGAAACCCCCTGCAGCCTTCAGAGAAGACAGGTAATCATGGAGTAAAATCAAAATAATGTGAGAAATGCGAGAGAGATTCAGAGAGAGATATATACATGTGTATATATATATATACCGGCCGAATGATATATGCAGATGACACCCATGTTTATGTAGTTTTGAAACGTGATTCCGTGATTCTGTTATTACTAAACTTGAAAGATGTATAAATGATATCAAAGCTTGGTCCACTGCTAATGATTTGAAGTTAAATGAGGATAAAATTGAGGTTATACATGTAACATCTCGATTCAGAAAGTCTTCCCATTTACTATCTGTCGAAATTGCTAATGTTCCAATACAACCTGTCAAAAGTGCACATAACCTTGGTGTCATCTTTGAAAATGATCTTAGGATGGATGATTATATAAAAAATATTTGTCGCTCAGCTTCATATGCCTTGTACAAGATAGGTCGTATTAGAAATTTTCTTGATCAAAAATCTACCGAAACGCTTATACATGCATTTATTACATCCCGTCTTGATCAATGCAATAGCCTTCTTTATGGCCTTCCGGACTCGCACATTGCAAAACTCCAGAGAATCCAAAACTCTGCTGCCAGGCTTGTAACACGCACGCGTTCTTGTGAACACATCACCCCAGTACTTCGCGAATTGCATTGGTTGCCGGTGACGTACCGCATTATGTACAAAATCTTAGTTTTAACTTATAAATGCATTCATGTATTGGCACCAATTTATCTGCAAGAATTAATCGAGGAATACAAACCCTCACGCAGTTTACGGTCATCTTCACAATTAAACCTTGTATCTACTTCTGTGTCAACTCTTTCTTATGGTAATCGCTCCTTTCGCAAAACTTCTGCTGAACTTTGGAACAGATTACCTTTAAATGTAAAAAACTGTCAAACTGTTAACCTATTCAAAACTAATAGCGTTCAATGATTAATTAACTCTGTCCACTTTGACGTGTATTTCATATGTATTGTAATTTGTATGTTTATTTGCATTTTTAGTTTTGTATAAGATGTAATTGTATATCAGTCTATTTTGTGTGTATAGCGCTTAGAGACTTCGGTGGTAAGCGCTTTATAAGTAACGTTTTTATTATTATTATTATTATTATTATTATATATATATATATAGAAAGAGAGAGAGAGAGACATAGACATAATGCAAGCAAACAAAAAAGGGTGGGAGAGATAAAGAGAGGGGGAAGGTAGAGAGATGGGAGTAGGTGAAGAAAAGGAGAGACCCAGAGATCAGACAGGGTAAGAGAGAAAGAGAAGAGAGAGAGAGAGAAACAGACAGACAGAGAGAGGGAGAGTGCACTCCCGTCATACAGGTGAAATAAGCATGTACTGTACCCTGTATCTAATCCAACGATCCTTCAAGAATCTTATCTGTGTATTTACATGTATTGTTTTATGTTCTAGACCTAGTGCTGCCTTCAGCTGTGGACGGAAGTCACCAATATGGTTAGTGAGTGAACCTGCGAAGAAAGCCGTAGAGAAAGAGAGACTGGAGTACCTTGCCAGAGCCAAGACCCCACACAAAGATTTTGCAGAACCCAGGACGGTGAGTAATACCCTTTTCACATCTATTTTTCTTAACCCCGGACTATCCTTAACCCCATACTATCCTTAACCCCATACTATTTTTTTTGCTGTTCACATCTATTTTCTTAACCCCGGACTATGTGCTTAGCCGGGGTTAAGAAATTTCACGCGATTCACACTACGTTCGCCTTAGCCCCGGACTATTCGATAGCTCATGAATATTAATGCTTTTGCTACCGCGCATGCGCCTTTCGACTAAATGAAGGGGAAAAACCCGCGCGCTAAATTTATGCGTAACGTGAACTGCATGCATGCGTAACGTGAACTGCATGCATAGCGCGCGATAAATGCAAATTCACGACCACACGACCACGCTGTCTGTGATTGGCTGTTGCTTAGCCCCGCTTCTCCTTAGCCCGGTTCGGATTCACACTACGCAGCTTAGCACCACAATTGCCCGGCTAACCCCGCAATTGCCCGGCTAACCCTGCTATTTTGCAGGGCCAGATAGTCCCGTACTATTTGTGGGGTTAGCCCACTTTGGCAAAACGTAATGTGAACAGAAAGCCGGCTAAAATTACCCCGGGTAATTGGTGGGGCTAAGGAAGGAATTGGTGGGGCTAAGAGCCCCCTTAGCCCCACCTATTTCCCGGGGTTAAGCAATATTTGGTAGATGTGAAAAGGGTATAACAAAGCTTACTCCTGAAGTAATTTGATAATCTTATAAGTGCACAGACTTTGGGTTCTGATAATAATGACTTCTTCAGAAATATGAAATACAGGCACACCTGCTTTAGCAAGCACCTGTATATAAAGACCACCTGCTCACAAATACCACTTTTCATTTCTTTCATTTTCTCTTCCCTACAGATTGAATCCCTTGTGAGTGCAGGAGCAAAGACCGCTCGAGCGTCGAGTCGAGTCGAGATGTTAGCCAGACCCAAGAGCAGGCCTCCAGGGCCTTTCAGGGAATCTAAATGGCCGGTAAGTAAACCTTTCAGAGGCTAATGGGCCTCCTATGAGCAAGGTGCATGTTCTATATTTTATACCATCTTTATATTCATTTGACAAGAAGGTCACGTGCAGACTTGGAGAGCAATAGCTCTTCCAAAGCCAGCCTATTATTCCAATGGCGGACTGATCAGTATTTATAAGTCATAGTTAAGAGAGCTGAGGTATTTGTTTCCAGCTCATTGTGACTGTGCCATGGACCAGTAATAGCTTGGCTTGCCTGGCAAACAGTAGATGGCAGGTTCAATCCTGCTGGTTTCAAGACTCCTTTCTAGTTCTGATTGCCCAAGTCCTGTCATCTGAAACCAACCATAAAGGCTCACTTTTAAATCGTTTTACGACCATAAACACATTGCTCTCTTCTTCTTTAACTACCAGGTGACGGATGTCGCCAAAGGAGCAGCTGCAAGTCCTCGCCAGCTGGAACTGGCCAAGCCCAAGAACGTCGCCGATGGCTACCAGGCCGATCGGCCTATCCAATGGTCCATCACAAGGGCAGCGCGGCGGGCCAACGCAACTAGCCGTACCAACGAGCTCTCCACACCGATCATGCGTGCTACCATGGACCATGTGCAATTCAATCCAGACGCTTTCATCGTCAGTGAAGCAGCCAAGAGGGCCCGGTGTCCTCAGCGGATCGAGGAACTCTCCCAGCCTCAGGTTCGATAAACATCAATGCACTCACTCGTTGGAATCTATAGGCAACCTCCAAAACTAACCCTAATGGACTTGCAGTTACGTTGTTGTGCCTGAGAGAGTTTGAACACAAAGTGATGACAATAGCAAGACTTTGCAATCCCAACATTTGCTTGGACATGATCGAACAATGAAGACAGACAAACTACCGAGTTGTGCTCCCTTTTGAGATTGACCTTTGAACTTGACTGCATTAACTCTTGGAACCCCACGTCAAATGAAACAAGTCATACCAAATATAGTATTTTGAGGAATACTGTGTAACTGGCTCGTCTTAAGGGAAATGGATGATAAAGGAAGAACCAAAGTCAACACGGAATAATTGTTATTAAAATAATAATACATTTTGTGATTGCTCAATAAACGAATGGTACAAGAGCAGATAAAACAAAAATAATTGGTGATTAACATATTAACAGAGAGCCCTTTACTATTTGTCTCTCTTTCAATACATACATGACATGTTCTTCTATTCCTAAAAGTTTTTGAATGATGTCTGGTAAAGGGCTTAATATGACTATGTATTTGAAGATTCAATAATCCCATAACTAAAAGTTTACACTTGTGTCTCAATTGAAACTACATAAATAAATATCTAAGTAGTATAAAAATAATACCTTTTAACAAGATTTATATTATTAAATAACAACGAGCCCGTTGCATAAAACTCAAGTTTTGTGGAACGGGGCCCTGGTCTATAAAAGCACTTTAGATCTACATATTTTCAATTATGTATCAAAACTGGTAGAAAATGTTCATCTCACTATAAATTTCAATCATAAATTTATTAAACTGTGTATTTAGATGAAAGTTGTATTGATTCGTTTTTAAAAAATCATTTGTCTCTGATATGCATTATATCCCTTAGGTATATTTTAGGAGTACGCTATCAAAAAGCTATCACATTTGAGCATTCCTTTTCTCTACATATTCAGTTGTACATTGTAGTCAAATATAAAATAGTATTCTCTATTATTAAAAGGTATTAGAAGAAATTAAAAGATGTGTGCAAAATCATGTACAATACCTATCAATGTGCTTGAAATGAGTGTTGAAATATTGATCTGCATTTAATTCATAAGAAATTGAGCATGTCTATGTATTATTCACTGTTTGCAATGATATTTTACTCCGTCCATATATTTATGTCAATGTGACTTGTTTTGTTTAGTGTATTTATCACAATGGGTGAGGAATGCATGTGGTTTTGTATGTCCTGATGCCATATGTGCAGTACCGGTATGCATTCAATTAGTGAACTCCATGTATTAGCTGTAAGTATAGACTCTATTTTGTTTCATGAATACTTTTAAGATACTTTTCATAGCACATCTTTTGAAAGAACATCCAAAGCACAGTCGAACCTGTAAGCAATTCAAAGACCGTTCAAGGGAAACTAGGCACGTTAATACAGAGTCCCGTCTTATAAATAGTTGCGAGTAATCACAACTTCTTTGTGATTGAAAACAATCACAACTACATGTATGTAAATAAGAGATAGCAGACTGCAAACTCTTTATAAGGCAGGAACTTGGTTTCAATAAGAAACTGCTTTGATAAAGAAAAAGAATTTGGTTGTTGTGATAATGGTTTTATTTGACCCAACTGCTCATCAAGCGGGTGTGGAAATATACCAGTAAACCTAAAGCTTTATAAAATTTCTGAGGGATTTGGTAATGAAATAGTCCATCCAATTAGTTTTGAACCCAGGACCACCTAGGTTACAAGACTATTGCACTAACCACCAAGCTATCATTCCTCGGCTTAACCAGGTTTGACTGTACTTTCCATATCTTCTTTTTCTTAGCTCATTTACAGTACATGTAAATTCAACAAAAGATTTATGTGGCAAACTACTTGATGTATTTATTATCATATCTACATAAGATTAAAATACTTATACTTCTAAACAATTATAAATGGTCTACTGACACACTAGTGGAATGTGTGGGTGATTCGCTTACATGATACCAATATATTATTCTTAATTTCATGAAACTATGGTTCTTTTAGAGACTAATCCTCAAATTTTAATGGGAGCCTGAACCTTGATAAAAGATAGCAAATCAAAGAAACATATTGTGAAAGTTTGACACAAGGCAGAAATATGAAGTATTGGGAAGTTCTCTTTTGTTCTCTGTATTTATTTCTTTTGAAGACATGTATGCAAAACATGTTATTGTCTAAAATGCACCTTCATACGCACAGCCCTAAGTAACATTTTGCACAAGGGTTACAGAGAGAATAAAGTGGAAATCCATTAATCCACTAATTCACTAATTTTCAAGGTTGGGGTGTTCCTTTCTAAAACTGTATGTATTTCTATATATCATGTTTAGATTAGATTGATTCACATCTCTGCATAATGTACACTTTGAATGTCATGGTTCACTTGCTGCATATCACAATATAGCACTGAACATGTTATGTTATTTTATTTTAAGCAATAAATGTTTTTCACTGCATGTAACTTACAACTTGTGTACAAGGTCTTTCTATTCAAAAGTTATTTTTTATCAAGGGAAATTCTAGTTATACTGGGACAAATTACTGTAGATAAATTGTAGTTCAAAAAGCATAAATAATGAAGCTTTGTAGAAGGAATAATTATCTAAAAAATGTTTTCCCAAGGTCTTTCTCAAGAAAACTTTCGCTACAATACACATAAAATACTTTCTTCGCCGTCTAGTCTTGCAACCACAGATCATATATTGACACTCATGAATACTTATGATGAGTTGAGCCATGCCTACCAGTAAATCAGCTACATGATGGTCGGGTCCAAAAAAAAACGGTACAAGGGCTAGTACAGTTTTGTAGTCTACCATCCAAAGTGGTTCAGACCCTGTACTATAATAACTGTCATTGGTTGGTAGAGGTCTTGAGTCCAAAGACAACTACTGTCGATATAAACCCTCATTTCTATGAGGAATCAGTCACTTCTTTATGTTATGATCCTTCCATGTCAGCTCATAGTGACATCCTCTGTGTCTGGTTGTCCATCCTCTCCTGCCTTCTGGGCTAGGTACTCTTGATACTGCACTTTGCAGGTCTTGAACAGTGCAATCTTCTTCTTGATCTGCTTCGGTGTGTCCTGGTAGTAGTTCTTGATGTCCCGGGCCATTGCCTGAAATTCGATTTAATTGATTTGATTTATTAATTTCTGTTTAATCTTCTTTTTCTTTTGCAGTTTTATAAATATATAACAAACAAAATTTAACAAATCATTGCAAATTGTATAAAGTTAGGCTGGTTGTAGCTAATCGAAAACGTCAAACAGAAGGGTCGACAAAGTAAGCAAAGCTTGATAGCATGACTACCCTCAATGGATACATAATAATACAAATATGATGGAAAACAATATTGGTCAAAGGGTAAAGAGAGAGAGAGAGAGAGAGAGAGAGAGAGAAAAAAGGAGGAAGAGGGGTGTGTAAATCTAGATTCACAGATGTATGTGGTAGTTGGATTTCAATTTGATACATGAAGATACAAAAGAAGATGCACATTTGAATATCGGGTGACCACCTTGGGATATATTATAGAATGAGAAGACTCACGAGGTTTCTGGACAACATGGATAAGAGTATGAGAGAGGAACAAGAACAAGAATGACTGTAGATCAAGTCTGAAGCAGGATCTACATTGATCACTACAGGCTCATTCAAAGCTGACACAGTAAACTGTGGCAGGTTTTTATTACTAGTACGGTATACGAATGGCAAGTGGAGTGGGAGCAAGAATGAATATCTGAACGTAACACAGGCCTCTATTATTTAAGAGTACCAACCTAGCTGTGTGCTATTCAATACAGAAATGTGAATACATTTATTTTGCCCTGCCAGTTTATTGCAGTGGTTTGCTATTTAAATGTCATCCTCTTTCACATTATGATACAATTTAAGTGAAATTTTGCCATCAAATTTGTTGGGGCTCCCAACACTGTAGAGGGGCTTTAATATCAGGGTGGACTTCCCCTTTGAGTCTGGTAGCATACTACTCACCTTAAAGTCAGTGCCATACTTGTCCATCATGTGGGCGCAGTACATCATCATCGGCTCAGAGATCTTCTCCCTCTTCTTGGTAGGCATATCAGCCATAGCTTCAAGTTCTGAATAGAAATGACAACAGATTGCAGGTTTTAAACTTTTAATGGTATGAAATATAACATATACCTGGGCCCCGTTGCACAAAATTTACCATTGATGATAACTTTGCCATCAATTTTTTACCACAATGGAAACCTTGATTTTGATTGGCTGCTGAGCCCTGTTACCATGGTAATTGCCATTGATGGCAAAGTTACAATCAATTGAATCAATGGTAAGTTTTTATGCATCGGGCCCAGGTATAAACATACATTTGTATGTGAAGGTAGACAATCAAGGACCAACAGCATAAAAGTAAACCACTGATTTTTATCTTTATTTTAACCCATAGATGTGTAAGCTTCTCTAACAAATAGAGCTCATTTGTATTTATTCACTAAAATATTGAAATTTTTTCAAACTTGAACAAAATAAAGAATTTTGACATGGCTTTTTAAAATCACCAGCTGTATTCTAAAAGGTTTGAATTCATGTGCAAAACTTGTGCATTAGATTCCCCCAAAAGACCCATGAATGATAAATAGGATTACTAGCGAATTTGCCTGATATTCCTATGTGAATCTGGTGGATATAATTATAAAACCACAAAAGCCAACCCCTTTCAAAACCTGATGACACACGTACATGAAGATGAGATAGACTTACCTTTAATAACTTGTTGCTTGCCTTTAGGACGGGCTAGTTTATCATCAAAATCCATAGAGTCATCAAGGCTAACAGGGGCAAGTCTCTCCTATGGAATTCATTAAAAGTATACAATGTTAACAACAACAACAATAAAGATAATAACAATAATTTTAATTTTTTTTTTTTTTTAATAGAAAACATATCTACCATGCCATATGCTTGAGGCATTCAGATATTATCCTTGCTGTGCTGGGCAACCATTTTCAGTGCTCACATTATTAAAGGAATTCCTTCCTACAGGTACCCATTTAACACCTGGGTGGAGAGTGGCAAATAAAGATTTCTTTCTTGTCAAAGGACGTTCACTTTCTGTAAAATATTGATATAGAGAAAAGACAAACCTATACACTGTATTGTGAATTCCCTCATGCAATTTCAAAAAATTTCTGTTAATACACTATAATACCACTCACAAAAAACTCTTTTTACCTTAACCTAACTGCTTGGCATAGATCCTAAGTCAGTTACCATAAAAGACAATTAAATTAGAGTACCAATGCAAGGGCCGTTTCTAACAAGAATAGTAAAAACATGTATCATACTTACTTTCTACAGAATATTTATAGTATGATATATCAGCCCTATACTAATATCTTTGATGAAATAAACAAAGGAGCAAATGAGTGATCACCACTTCTATATGCTAGTATCTCAGTGGGCTTGCAACAGCTCGCAACTACCGGTAGTAGGAGAAATAAAATTGTGAGAAAATACTTGAATAAGCGACAATTTTCACTTAGAATTGCACCAAAGCAGTACTTACAACACATCTGTGTATATTGCACGAACTCCCGGTGGAATTTGGGCCAAAATTCCAGGCAGAATTTGCATACATGTTGTGGGAGCGTGCGACTGTCATGCAAATTATATATTCAAATTGCCTTTTTGTTGCAATTTAGACCGAAAAAAAGGTTTTTAGCCATGTCGCAATTTGTTTTGCAATTTATTCTCAATGGATTCACAATTTTGTCATGCTCTCAGGGGTCCCACGGCAGTTCGTGCCTATCTCGCACCTGAAATGTCAGACTTTTAATGTTGTCTAGTCTCCAATCAGTCACAATTTTGTTTCATAGGTTGCCAACCCCTAACAAAGTTTTCTCAGGGTCATTCCATGTCAAATCACCCAATGGTTTTAACCCGACCATTTTTGATTTTGATGAAACTTAGTGTACTTGTTGAATGTGATCTCACAGCACCAAATCCCAAATTTTAGGTCAATCGGGTGAGGGGTTTGGGAGATACGGCCCACCAAATTTTGAGATTTTTTCAAAAATGGGGGTGGCGGGCCTACCTTTGAACCCTTGTATCTCGGGACCTAATGGGTCAATCTTCACAAAATTTGTATTGTTGGAAAGGGTATTCAATAAGGATTCCAAATCTGCCGCCATTTTGAAAATTTGTACATGTTTGGGTACTTTGACCTCTTGACCTAAGATTTGACCTTGAAATTGACCTTGTGGATCACGTGACCTTGACAACATTTTTCATGAAATGTAATCTCTGACATGTTCACTAAAACATATAAAAGTTTCAGAGATATAATATTTTTTGTTTAGGAGCAATAACGATTGAAAGTATCCATACTTACAGATATTCACAATAAACCCTATTATAATGTATACAATACATGCAATATGCACAGTACAACATACATCTTCCACATGCTTTTTTGTTCTAGGCATATCCATTCTGAATGTCAGCAGTACTTGAATAGAAATAAAATGACAAGTTCATATAGGCCTAGAGGGTTAACAGGATGTATGGCTTTAGGCCTCCGAGTCGGTTCTAGGATAATTACCCCCCTGGATAATTAACCCCCAGGGAATGTCCCCCCCCACCCCCCCCCCCGAGGACAATTACCCCCTGAGGACTATCACACCCAGAGGACAATTACCCCCCCCCCAGAAAATTACACCCTAGGACAATTACCCCCTGGACAATTACCCCCTAGGATAATTACCCCCCCCCCCCCTATTCGTTAAAGGGGAAGTCCATCCTGATAATAAGTTGGTTTTTAATCAAAGCAGATTTTTTTTTTCAGGAGGTAATTATCCTTGAGGGGTAATTTCCAGGGGGAGGGGTAATTGTCCTCGGGGGGGGGGGGGGGGGGGACAGATTGTCCTAGGAGGTAATTTTCTGGGGTTAATTGTCCTCTGGGTGTGATAGTCCTCGGGGGTAATTGTCCTTGGGGGGGGGGAACATTTCCTGGGGGTTAATTTTCCAGGGGGGTAATTATCCTAGAACCGACTCAGAGGCCTAAAGCCATACATTCTGTTAACCCTTTAGGCCTATATGAACTTGTCATTTTATTTCTATTCAAGTACTGCTGACATTTAGAATGGATATGCCTAGAACAAAAAGCATGTGGAAGATGTATGTTGTACTGTGCATATTGCATGTATTGTATACATTATAATAGGGTTTATTGTGAATATCTGTAAGTATGGATACTTTCAATCGTTATTGCTCCTAAACAAAAAATATTATATCTCTGAAACTTTTATATGTTTTAGTAAACATGTCAGAGATTACATTTCATGAAAAATGTTGTCAAGGTCACGTGATCCACAAGGTCAATTTCAAGGTCAAATCTTAGGTCAAGAGGTCAAAGTACCCAAACATGTACAAATTTTCAAAATGGCGGCAGATTTGGAATCCTTATTGAATACCCTTTCCAACAATACAAATTTTGTGAAGATTGACCCATTAGGTCCCGAGATACAAGGGTTCAAAGGTAGGCCCGCCACCCCCATTTTTGAAAAAATCTCAAAATTTGGTTGGCCGTATCTCCCAAACCCCTCACCCAATTGACCTAAAATTTGGGATTTGGTGCTGTGAGATCACACTCAACAAGTACACTAAGTTTCATCAAAATCAAAAATGGTCGGGTTAAGATTTTCAGATTTTTTGGGTGATTTGACATGGAATGACCCCTCACACTTCGCACACTTTGTGACTCACGGACACTAAATTGAGAAAGATTTGGGACACCTGCAAGGCTGCAACGACTCTGTGATTATTTTGAGAGATAGTTTGTCGCACTTTCACAAGGAAATTGAGAACTCCCAAAAACATTTCGCACCATTTGGGAAACTCCCTCGCGAATGCCATTTACAATTTGCTACCAACAGTCGCAGCTCAGTGAGAACGGGCCTTTATTTACACTTCCATTAACAAACTTGTCCTAAACCTACCTTTGTTGTTGGAATGGGAAGTGTCTTATTAGGATCCGATGATAGTCCCATGGCTCTCAAGTTCTCCTTCACTGATTTCTTGTTATCCCAGGCAGTTTTAATGGGGTCACTGTTTAATAAAGAAAGAAAATAAAAACTCTCAAACACAAAACATACCTCACACAATCAAACGAAAGATTAGTGTGAAAAGGCGCGTGCGTAGGGAGTTTGCTAAATTCAGTGAACTATGTGAGTGCGCCCTCGTATACCTACTAAACTGATAGTTATTTTTACTGAAATATCTTCTGTAAACGCTTCTCATACAGTACTCATACTTACTGCACTCTGAGAACGAACTTGACACAGTGTCTATAGTGCTGTAAGGGGCTAGGTGTGAGACTATGGTATCTGACGCTGCCGCGTGTTCACGTTTGCAGCTCATACATATTCATATTTTAATGGCGCAATAGACATTTCTCATCATATCTTGGCTTGAAAATTATGTCATCTTTCACAGTTTTCCCTCTCTTTTTGAGATGGCTGTAGCTATGGGGCTCAAACTATCGCAAGAATGACATAAACTAGAGTCAATGCTAATGCGTATTGACCTCTAGCACTGAACTACGGGCTGAGAGGCAGCAATTGCACATAATATACACCTTTACTTTTACGGGTTGTCATCTTCCCGAGGATTTATCGCTCATAATCTCGTAAACAAAATACAAAATATAACGGTGTTTTATCAAATGTTGAATTCAATCCCCAAGGTACACAGCATGACAACTACGTCTCATTTCAAAATGATGGCTAACTGAACTCGATATCGAGTACGTAGCTCATGAAATATCATTATTTCTGTAAGATATTTTGAATATCTATAGGAATATTTGTCAAAGCAAATAATTATTTTACGGTAATTTTGTTGAATTGGAGTCCCTTAAAGTCTTACGTGATGTTTTTTAATTGGTTTAATGCTTATTGTTCCGATCAGGTCGGATGACGGTGTAGGGATGTACACATGCATATCAAGCTTGACTCGTAACTTCTGCTTGCCGTTATACACGCATTTTTAGAACGAACGAAAGGCACTTCGATGTTATTTCAAGAGCTTTAATTTATTTTCCTTCATCAAACTATCAAGGGTAAACCATTATGTTGTGGATATATTTTGACAATTAAATTAATGCCTTTAGTATTACGATTTAATTGCAATAGTCTGATCAACATTTTAGTCTTGTGTGTGGCATTTTCTTGCTCTGTCTTCAGTGGGTCATAGATCTATTTCCACTTCCGTTTCTGAAAGCACTCGATCGGTACCACGAAGCATGATTCCTTTCTTGCAGCCTCAATTTTAGAGCGATAAAAACACCTACCGTCAACTGAAACAATATCCATTTATTTCTAAAGCATATTTATTTGATTATATTTAAATATAAGTTTGTGAATTGCATATTTTTAGTTCTATATTTCAAAATATCAGTGTAAAATTTAATTTTGAAAAACCAGAAACCCGAAAACCAAAAACCGGGTTTCAGCTCGATGGTCGGGGCCCGGGCGGGGATCCGTTTCGACTCAGGCCTAGTCTAGTATGCAGTGCTAGAGGTCAATACGCATTAGCATTGACTCTCTATGCTTTGCTGGAGTGGAACAATCCAGCTTCTGCTGCTTTTCATGTAAAATGGCAATTATGATGCATGTATTTTGAAATTACATAATAAACCATTATTGAATTGAATCCATTCTTAGCAAAGGAATTTTAGCCCAATTTTTCACTAATTTTAATCATAATCATATATTACATTTTCCACCTGAATTTGGATCACATCCAACATCGGGAAGCCTCCGTTAAGGGTTACGATGTCGACGTCGTCGCTCAGTACCGTCTCTACGCTATAGCTCTGCACCTCAAACTGAAGCTATCGGTCCAAAATTATGCAAACTTTGTGTAGACCTTGCTTTATGGTATTACGCACATGCACGATACCATAAACCTTACAAGAAGTTTGCATAATTTTAGACTGATAGCTTCAGTTTGAGGTGCAGAGCTATTTAGCGTAGAGAAGGTACTGAGCGACGACGTTGACTTTGAAGCCCTAAACAGAGACTTCCCGATGTCGGATGTGATCCAAATTCAGGTGGAAAATGTAATAGGTCTATATGATTATGATTAAAATTAGTGAAAAATTGGGCTAAAATTCCTTTGCTAGGCACATTCATGGGGCACTAGAGGGCGCTTTGCGCGCGTACGAAAATCTGAATGGCCTTGCTGCGGTGGGTCGGCAATAATCAGCCCAAAACTTGGATATGGGAGGGTGGAAGGATACATCTTTTTTATAATGTTATCTGGTCTTACCCTTAACCATCCTATGTTTAATCTATGTAGAAATAACATGCGAGTACGATAAGAGAAACATCGGGCCCATTACTGATGCAACTTTTAAAATATTAGCCTAGAAATTAAGGCTGCGACGGGTAGTCGAATGCTCGAGTACCCGCACGGTTGACAACTACTCGGGTACGATTTCTTGTACCCGAATATTCGGCCGCAAAAAAAAAAAATGTCCAGGCCCACGCTTACCCGTGCCAGGGAGAGCAGCATCCGCTGGCATGGTACCGTCGGTAAAAATGTTTCCAAACTCAAGCACTGTCAAACTCACCTTTCAGAAACTGGGACCAAATGTCCAGATTTCTGTTTGGACTTAGAGGAAAATGGATTATTCTGCCATCTTTGGTTTTTAAAACAGAATTGTTTACTGTTATTATTCTTATTAAATCGGCGCCTTCAACTGCAACTCAAAGTAAAGTTGCATGCGTTTTCAGCGAGCTGCGCGAGGGACCTGAGAAACTGGGTAGCATATATTGGCACCAAGATTAACGGCGATATGAATATTCATTATTCCCTACGTCACGGACGTGCGGCGTGCGTACTCTGTCTATGGATCTGTCTTATACACAGGTACATGTACTGTACTAGTACAAGAGTACGTTCGCAAGCATTACTACATACATTGCTCCGGAATGAAGAGAATCATTATAAAGGACGAATTACTCCGTAAAGCCAAGTACAAGCAGGGAATTGAAATAGCAAACGTTCCTCGGAGCGGCTATACAATCCCTAATCTAGCTAGTTTTGTAATGACAGTTTATAGGAAAATGGACATTTAGTAGGCCTACTGTTTAGTTGTTCAATAAAATCACTCAGTTTGATTTGATTCGAGATATATCTCATTAATAAAACAGTATAAAGGCTGTATGAGTCTCGGACGAACCATCGCCACTAATCTTGGTGCCAACACCGTTAATCTATGCTCCAAATTTAGTAATACATTTTGTGTGCCCTATAATGACCCGGGGTTGGATTATTTAGGAGAACAGAAGATTGATATTGTTAAGTTGTTTCATAACATCTCTCAGTTTCATTTGATTCGAGATATATTTCATTAATAAAACAGTATAAAGGCTCTATGAGTCTCCAAGAACGATCGCCACTAATCTTGGTGCCAACACCGTTAAACTATGCTCCAAATTTAGTACTACCTTTTTTGTGCCCTATATGCTAAAGACCCATGCAGGGTTGGATTCTTTAGGAGAATGGAAGATTGATATTGTTGTTTCATAACATCATTCAGTTTGATTTGATTCGAGATATATCTCATTAATAAAACAGTATAAAGGCTCTATGAGTCTCACACGAACGATCGCCACTAATCTTGGTGCCAACACCGTTAATCTATGCTCCAAATTTAGTACTACCTTTTTTTGTGCCCTATATGCTAAAGACCCATGCAGGGTTGGATTCTTTAGGAGAATGGAAGATTGATATTGTTGTTTCATAACATCATTCAGTTTGATTTGATTCGAGATATATCTCATTAATAAAACAGTATAAAGGCTGTATGAGTCTCGGACGAACCATCGCCACTAATCTTGGTGCCAACACCGTTAATCTATGCTCCAAATTTAGTAATACATTTTGTGTGCCCTATAATGACCCGGGGTTGGATTATTTAGGAGAACAGAAGATTGATATTGTTAAGTTGTTTCATAACATCTCTCAGTTTGATTTGATTCGAGATATATTTCATTAATAAAACAGTATAAAGGCTCTATGAGTCTCCAAGAACGATCGCCACTAATCTTGGTGCCAACACCGTTAAACTATGCTCCAAATTTAGTACTACCTTTTTTGTGCCCTTTTTGCTAAAGACCCATGCAGGGTTGGATTCTTTAGGAGAATGGAAGATTGATATTGTTGTTTCATAACATCACTCAGTTTGATTTGATTGCGCATTATGTCTCTTAATAATGGTGTAAAAGTCTCTAAAGAGAAGAAAATAAAGAGAGAAAGAGAGAGAGAGAGAGAGAGAGAGAGAGAGAGAAAGAAAAAGATGTGAAAGGGAAAGAGGAGAGAAAGGAAAAGGAAGAAGAGGAAAAAGAAAAGAAAAAGGGGAGGGGAAGAAAGAGATCAGGGGGAGTAGGGGCCGAAATGGGCCTTGCCTCCCATGATGTTGCTTCCACTTCCCCTCCCAGCAAAACAAAAAGAGAGAAGAAGGAAAGGGAAAGCAAAAAGGAAAAGAGGAGATAACGGAAAGGAAAAAAAAAGAGGAAGAAGATAAGAAAAGAAGGGGAATATCAGTTACTATTTTTTCCGCCAACAAGTTGTGGATCCGGGGGGGGGGGGCAAAAGGCCCTTGCCTCTTCCCCCCCCCCCTCCCCCACCGCCAAAAAAGAAGGGGAAAAAGGGGAGGGAAAGAGGAGAGCTAAAAGGGAACAAAAAGAGGAAGCGGGGGGGGGGGGGGGGGGGGGGGGGGGGGGGGGGGGGGGGGGGGGGGGGGGGGGGGGGGGGGGGGGGGGGGGGGGGGGGGGGGTAAGAGGACACTTTTTGGGGGGTCTCGAAATTTGAAAATTTGACATTTTGTTCCGTAGGGGGGGGGGGTGTTGAGGTCACCTTTTTTAGGACAGCCATTGGCATAATTAAAAAAAATAATTAAAAAGGGGGGGGTTGCTCCAAGATACACACATAACAAAAAACCGAACAGGGGGAGGTTCAACCCCAATCCCCCCCCCCCCCCCCCCCCCCCGTACGCGCCTGCTCTTCTGATTACAGTTTTCGACTCTTAACCCTCGTTTGTTTTCAGTCCCCCCCCCCTCCCGCTTGTACATTTCATTAAATCATTAGAGAAAGAAGACGATTCGTTGTACCGTTTTCGACTCTTAATCCTCGTCTGAATTCAGTTCCCCCCTCTTATCCGCGCGCGCGAAGCGCGGAAGCTTTTACGTTTCATTAAATCTTTAGAGAAAGAAGACGATTTGTTGTACCGTTCCCGACTCTTAATCCACACCTCCTGCGCCAAGCGCGGAAGCTTTGACATTTAATTCAATTATTAGACAAACAAGACGATTTTGATACCTTGTCCGCCCCCGGAAACTCATGGGTTGAAGGCAAATTACGGTCAGATAAGTATTCAGGGGCCCGCCTCAGGGCCCCTGGTGGGGTCGAGGGTGCGGAACCCCTGAATCTCAGGGGTTTCAGGCATTTGATTACGGTCAGATGAACATAATTTTTATACCTTATTTGTGAAACTGGCAGGACACTGATTTGCGTGAGGTCCAGCGAGCGGAGCCCCAAGAAGCTCAGGGGTTTTAGGCATTACATTGCCGTCAGATTAGCATCCAGTAGGGTCTAGGGGGCAGAGCCCCCGGAAGCTCGGGGGTTTAGGCATTTGATTACGGTCAGATGAACATATTTTTATACTTTATTTGTGACACTGGCAGGACACTGATTGGCGTGAAATCCAGCGGGCGGAGCCCCCAGAAGATCAAGGGTTTTAGGCACTAAATTTTGGTCAGATGAGTAGGCAAGGGGCCTGCCCAAGTGCCCTTGGTTGGGTCCCGGGGACAGAGCCCCCGGAAGCTCAGGGGTTTTAGGCACTAAATTGTGGTCAGATGAGTATCAAGGGGCCTGCCCAAGGGCCCTTGGTTGGGTCCCGGGGACAGAGCCCCCGGAAGCTCAGGGGTTTTAGGCGTCTAATTACGGTCAGATGAGCAATTTTTTGATACCTTATTTTGTTGTGACACTGGTAGTTAACTATTTTTTCTTTCTTGCTCTCTTTCTTTCTATTTCTCTTTAAAATGCTTTTCCAAAAAAAAAATGGGGGGGGGGGAGCTGGAGGCTCCCGATCCCCGCCGTTCAGCGGGCCCTGACATGTAGGCATCTCAAGAAGCATATTTTTCTTGCCTGACTGTAAATTTCGGAATATGTCATTTTCCAACAAACGCATAAAAAAGTATAATTTAATAAAAAGTGAGGAACAATCTCGGAAAATGATGTCATTTTAGCAACATTTGTAAGACACCGTTATGGAATTAGAAATAACCCCCCCCCCCCCCCGAACCACAACTTATTGGCAGGAAAACTGATATCCTCCTTCTTTTCTTTTCTTCTTCCTCTTTTATTTCCCTTCCCTTTATCTCCTCTTTTCCTTTCTTCCCTTCCCTTTCCTTCCTTCGCTCATATTTTTTTTTTGATTGGGGGGGGGGGGCGGGGAGGCAACAGCCTGGAAGGCAAGGCCATTTCGGTCCCCCCAATCTCCTTCTTCCCCCTTTTCTTGTCTTCTTCCTCTTCTTTCTTTCCCTTTCTCTCCTCTTTCCCTGTCCTTCTTTTCCTTTTCTCTCTCTCTCTCTCTCTCTCTCTCTCTTTATTTTTGCGGGGGGGGGGGGGGGGCGCTGCCCCCCTGGAACCGCGCCTGTGTTATAGAGCAACTTAACAATATAGGAATCTTCCGTTCTCCTAAATAATCCAACCCCGGGTCTTTGCAGACACACAAAACGTATTGCTAAATTTGGAGCATGGTTTAATGGTGTTGGCACCAAGTTTAATGGTGTAGAGGTAAGTTAGTTTGAGACTATAGCTTTTATATATATATATATTTTATTAATGAGGTATATCTCTAATTAAATCGAACTGAGTGATGTTATGGAACAACTTTACAATATCAATCATCCGTTCTCCTACACAATCCAGCCCCGGGTCTTTATAGGGCATACAAAATGTATTACTAAATTTGGAGCATGGTTTAACGGTGTTGGCACCAAGATTAGTGGCGATGGTTCGTTCGAGACTCATACAGCCTTTATACTGTTTTATTAATGAAATATATCTCGAATCAAATCAAACTGAGAGATGTTATGAAACAACTTAACAATATCAATCTTCTGTTCTCCTAAATAATCCCACCCCGGGTCATTATAGGGCACACAAAATGTATTACTAAATTGGAGCATAGATTAACGGTGTTGGCACCAAGATTAGTGGCGATGGTTCGTCCGAGACTCATACAGCCTTTATACTGTTTTATTAATGAAATATATCTCGAATCAAATCAAACTGAGAGATGTTATGAAACAACTTAACAATATCAATCTTCTGTTCTCCTACATAATCCAACCCCGGGTCATTATAGGGCACACAAAATGTATTACTAAATTTGGAGCATAGATTAACGGTGTTGGCACCAAGATTAGTGGCGATGGTTCGTCCGAGACTCATACAGCCTTTATACTGTTTTATTAATGAGATATATCTCGAATCAAATCAAACTGAGTGATGTTATGAAACAACTTAACAATATCAATCTTCTGTTCTCCTAAATAATCCAACCCCGGGTCATTATAGGCAGTGGCGGATCCAGGGGGGGGGGCCCCGGGGGGCCCCCCCCCCCCCTTGAGAAAAAAATCATGTAAAATCACGTGATTTTTACCTTTTTTGGGGGTTGGGCCCCCCCCCCCCTGACGCTCAAGGGGGGGGGGGGGTGCAAATTGAAATTTTTTTGAGGATCAAAAAAAAAAAAATGTGCTCACTACCCCCCCCCCCCCCCCCCCCCCCCCCCCACTGAGCGACTTTTCGGCCGGCGCGTTTTTCAAATTTTCGGGAGCAAAAAAAAAAAAAGTTGGGCCCCCTCCCCTAAGAAATCCTGGATCCGCGCCTGATTATAGGGCACACAAAATGTATTACTAAATTTGGAGCGTAGATTAACGGTGTTGGCACCAAGATTAGTGGCGATGGTTCGTGTGAGACTCATACAGCCTTTATACTGTTTTATTAATGAGATATATCTCGAATCAAATCACACTGAGTGATGTTATTTAACAACTAAACAATAGGCCTACTAAATGTCCATTATCCTAAATAAACTATCATTACAAAACTAGCTAGATTAGGGAGTGTATAGCCGCTCCGAGGAACGTTTGCTATTTTCAATTCCCTGCTTGTACTTGGCTTCACGGAGTAATTCGTCCTTTATAATGATTCTCTTCATTCCGGAGCAATGTACATGACCTAATGCTTACGAACGTACTCATGTACTGAATACATGTGTATATGACAGAGTACGCACGCCGCACGTCTGTGACGTAGGGAATAATGAATATTCATATCGCCGTTAATCTTGGTGCCAATATATGCTACCCAATGCCGAGTGGTATGGTAGTGGCAAAAAAAGAAAAAAAAGGAAAAAAATCAAAAAATCAAAAAATTCAAAAAAAATCAAAAAAATTCAAAAAAATTCAAAAAAATTCAAAAAAATTCAAAAAAATTCAAAAAAATTATTAAAAAACATGGCGTCCGAATACTCGAGTATTCGCCTGTGAGCCTGGGAGTGTACTCGGGTACCTCATTACACTGTTGTGCACAGCCCTACTAGAAATGACCACCAAACGGAAAAAATTGACATTTTTTCCCGACAAATCTTCTTAAAATCTGATTTATAAACAAGTCACATCTAGATACACTAATACAAATACGATTTTCTGAAAATTCAGGTATTATTTATTAAGTTTCTTTCAAGTATATTTCTGCGCATCGCAGCGCCAATGTTCTTCACTGCTTCTAAATCACCCTTGAATTTTTTTATTTTGCAACGAATTTGTTACGAGGTCCGCGAGTGTTCCCCGTTCCTTGCGTGTTGAAAGTTTGGTAATACATAGTTTACATTGACTCGCGCACGAAAAAATGGTCGAAAACAAAATGTCAAATGAAGAAATAAACAAGCTTTTGTATAGTTATAAGAGTTCTACCGAGGTTTCTTTGTCGATTTAATTTATTATATAGTCTCAATTAGAATTCAGAATTATCTCACTGAAGAGTTAAGAAACCGACGATGTTCTCGATCGTAGTTATTTTCATTTTGCCAGCAGCCGATCTAGCGTTGTTTGGGCAAAAAGCTAGGCCGCTGCCTTCTAAGGCTGCGACGGGTAGTCGAATGCTCGAGTACCCGCACGGTTGACAACTACTCGGGTACGATTTCTTGTACCCGAATATTCGGCCGCAAAAAATAAAAAAATGTCCAGGCCCACGCTTACCCGTGCCAGGGAGAGCAGCATCCGCTGGCATGGTACCGTCGGTAAAAATGTTTCCAAACTCAAGCACTGTCAAACTCACCTTTCAGAAACTGGGACCAAATGTCCAGATTTCTGTTTGGACTTAGAGGAAAATGGATTATTCTGCCATCTTTGGTTTTAAAACAGAATTGTTTACTGTTATTATTCTTATTAAATCGGCGCCTTCAACTGCAACTCAAAGTAAAGTTGCATGCGTTTTCAGCGAGCTGCGCGAGGGACCTGAGAAACTGCCGAGTGGTATGGTAGTGGCAAAAAAAGAAAAAAAAGGAAAAAAATCAAAAAATCAAAAAATTCAAAAAAAATCAAAAAAATTCAAAAAAATTCAAAAAAATTCAAAAAAATTCAAAAAAATTCAAAAAAATTATTAAAAAACATGGCGTCCGAATACTCGAGTATTCGCCTGTGAGCCTGGGAGTGTACTCGGGTACCTCATTACACTGTTGTGCACAGCCCTACTGCCTTCCCATCGCAAACCTTTCCGAGTCCCGCTAAAATGGCGCTCTGCGGAGCTCCGAAGCTGCGTTGGTATCGCTGCAAACTCTCAGCCGGCCAGCTCCCCACGACGGACCATTCGCGGTATGGCGAGAGTGTGTGTGTGAGGTATGATTTTGGATTCGAGAACGCACGTAATGCAACCGTGCGCGTCATTTTCAGCTGTCGAATGTATACGACCAATTTTACATGTACGATTTTTAGTACAGATACTTGGTCAGTTTTCTTCTTATATCTTTGGTTTTACAACATTTAAAAATTTAATTTCTTCAAATTTGCTCCTGACTCGGTTCAGACTAATTGTCTGATGTGTTTTCAAGTCAATTTTTTGAATATATTTTTTTGCATGAATTTGCCTACCTTTGCTAAGAATGGATATGAAACTGCTAAAAAAATGGATACGGAACGACACTAGCACCCGGATAGGACACATGTAACGTCTGCAAAAATGTGGAAGATCCTTATTTTTGCAAACGAGTCTGTCAGCCTTTTATTATACTAGATCTAAGACGATCCTTATTCTCGGACCATGTGGTGGAGCGTTTCCGTTTGGTACCTAGATCTACGAACGCAAACGTTTGGTCAATTTTTGTGGTGGGGTATTCTAAAGTTGCTCCAACAATTAATAATCAATAAAGTTAACATTCAGGCATAGTAGACATGATCAAGCTGTCCACAATTTTACAAATACATTTTTTTAACACGAACAGCTACATTACCACATCACATGAAATCTTATACACGGGACTGTGATTGTAAACAATCTCGTCACACGGCACGGGAACATGACCTTTATTTTTGATGAATGCTTACCATTCAATATTTGGAAGCCTCTTCTGTTTTTTCCACATCTTTCTTCGATTAGCTGAGTATTTATATTTTTTTCGTTGCCTTGCAGCCTTTGTTTTCGCCATTATTGATGTTACGATTTTACAAGTTTTATGCAAAAAAGCTACGCAAACACACGTGAATCCTGAGTTGTTGTGTTGTTGTTGTGTTTTGAGTTATTGGCGATTAGTCAGTGATTTGACTATTGTCGCCAAATTACTTTACGGCACGTGTTATATCTCTCAATTTTGGATTTTTTTAAAAAATACATTTATTTCGTTTTATATTTATCTATCTTTTAAGATAGTATCGTAAAATAATATCGTAAGCAAAACATTCATGGGCTTTGTTAGTGTTTCTTAACAGTACGTGCAGATTATTTGTTATATCACATACACACCATACATAAATATGTATATAAGATAGCACCTACACAAGCTTCTATATTCAGTAATCTTATCATACCTTTTATCATTGTTGTTACTTTTTCTTATTTTATTTTCTTAATACATTATGTTATTATATTTTTAATGTACTGAGTGTAATTTAACATATTTATAATATCGTATTATGTTTTACTGTTCTTATTTTATTTTATTACATTATGATTGTTATTATATTTTTAATGTACTGAGTGTAATTTAGCATATTATAATATTGTATAATGTTTTACTATTCTTATTTTATTTTCTTATTACATTATGTTATTATATTTTTAATGTACTGAGTGTAATTTAACATATTTATAATATTGTATTATGTTTTACTGTTCTTTTTTTATTTTCTTATTACATTATGTTATTATATTTTTAATGTACTACAGTGGCGTACCTGGGGTACTCCGTCAGGGGGGGCAAGCGACCGAAACAAACAAAAAAGGCGATGCTAATTTTCACTTCTGGCGAGCGAGCGAGCAAAAAAAAATCTTTAAGTAACGTTTGGTATATAAACTGGTATTGTTGCAAGTTGGGGTGGGAACATTCACTTGTTAGCGACGATAATTTCATTTTTTTGCAAACGAGCGTAGCGAGCAAGAAAAAAATCACTCCTTTTTTAATAATTGCCACTTAAACTTGGTTCAATTGTCCCATGCAGGGCGCGGGAACAATATTGTGTTTAGGGTGATTTCATACCCATTTTAGCTAGCGAGCCTAAATACATCTTTCTCTCAATGAATTGCTATATAAAATTTGTTTCATTGTTGCAGGTCGGGGGCGGGCACAATCTTGTTTTAAGGCAATGTCAATCCCATTTTGGCGGGCAGGCAACCGCCTACATTTCTCTTTTTAATGATATTGTAGCAGGTTAGTGGTGGGCACATAATTCCACGAGCTCGCGAGCGAAAAAAAAATCACTTCTCGTTTATAGGGAAAATATGGTACATAAAACTTAGGTTCATTGTTCCATGTCAGGAACGTGATTATTAAAAGCGGTGTTATTTCTATTTTGGCGAGCGAGCGTAGCGAGCGAGCGAAAAAAATCACTTCTCGTTCATTGTTCCATGTCAGGGACGTGATTATTAAAAGCGGTGTTATTTCTATTTTGGCGAGCGAGCAAAAAAATCACTTCTCTTTTGTAGGGAAAATATGGTACATAAACTTTGGTTCATATTTCCATGTCAGGGACGTGATTATTAAAAGCGGTGTTATTTCTATTTTGGCGAGCGAGCGTAGCGAGCGAGCAAAAAAAATCACTTCTCTAATTTTATAGGGAAAATATGGTACATAAACTTGGGTTCATTGTTCCATGTCAGGGACGTGATTATTAAAAGCGGTGTTATTTCTATTTTGGCGAGCGAGCGTAGCGAGCGAGCAAAAAAATCACTTCTCTTTTATAGGGAAAATATGGTACATAAACTTTGGTTCATTGTTCCATGTCATTTCTATTTTGGCGAGCGAGCGTAGCGAGCGAGCAAAATTTTTGTCATGATAATTGGTTCATAAATTTCAGATTTTTGTTGTTGCAGGGCAGGGCTTACACAATCATGTCTAAGGTGATGTTAATTCCGTTTTGGCGAGCACGAGCACACCAAAACTTCTTTGAATAACGTTTGGTACGTAATCATTAACTGGTTGTTGCAGGTTGGGGCGGGCACGTTAGCGGTGTCAATTCCATTTTGGCGAGCGAGCATAGCGAGCAAGCAAAAAAAAAATTCTCTTTTAATAGAAATTAATAAATAAACTAGTTTTTATTGGTGCAGGTCAGAATGGACGCAATCGTGTTTAACGCGATTCAATTCCTTTTTGGCGAGAGGGCGTAAAAACTCTTCCATTTTTAATGATATTGTTGCAGGTCAAGGGTGGGCACAATTGTTTCCAAAGCAATATCTATTCATTTTATTCGCGAGCGAGTGTAGCGAGCGAGAAAAATGAATTACTCTCTTTCAGTAACATTTGGTTCATACACTGTGTGTTATTGTTGCCATGGTTGCAGGTCGGGGCCCGTCGGGGCAGGCACAATTGTACTCTAGGCAATGCTAATCCTTTTCTTTTTTCAGGGGGACGAGCAAGTGAAAACATTTAATACAAAATAGGCTAGCAAGCAGTTCGCGCCAGCGAAGAGTTTCGAATTTGTTATATAACTTATATTTTCCTATTTTCATTTGTCTAAATTTTTCAGGGCCGTATAAGGAATATTTTTCTGGTGGGGGAGGGGGAAAGATGCGTTAAAAGTTTTCGGAGAATCTCAAAAGCAAAAGGAGTGAAGGGAGTTCGAGCGACCGAACTGGTCATGAGGGTACTTTTGCATTTTCAAAAGTAGAATTGAAGGATTTGGTATAGGCCTACACTACATTTTCAGGAAAAAACTGTACGTTTTCAAAATATCTGGGGTCAACTGCCCCCCCCCCCCTGGTGCGTACGGCCATGGTCTTTTTTTTTTAATTTCCCCATTTTTTTCCTTTCCTTTTCTTTTCCCTTTTTCTTCCTTTTCTCTTCTTCTTCCTTTTTTCTTTCCTTTTCCTTTTTTTCCTTTTTTCTCTTTCTTTCCTTTTTTTCTTCCCTTTTCTTTTTTTCTTTTTCTTTCCTTTCCTTTTTTTCTTTTCTTTCCCCTTTTTCTTTTTTTCCCCTGGAGCCCGTCAGGGGGGGCACTCTGCCCCCCTGCCCCCCCCGTAGGTACGCCAGTGTGTACTGAGTGTAATTTAGCATATTTATAATATTGTATTATATTTTACTGTTCATCAAGGGAGGTATTACTTCCTGATAGGGAACCGTTTCGTTCTGAGAAAGAACCGTACAATAGCTTTTTGTATACTGGACTCACTCTTTTTTAAGTATTCCATAATTTTTTAGAGAAGTTAATGGTGAAGTTTAAGAAACAAAAAATAATTGAAAAATCCTGCGTATTGCATGCAGTGCGCGTGCTAGCGTTAATAGCGTTTACATCTCCCTGGGCAGAACTGTAAAATACGTATTCTACAATTATATGGAACAATTAAGGGACATAATAATACAGAAGAAGGTGGAATATAGAATTACAAAAACAAACAAAAAATTAACAAACAAATTTGAAAGACACAGAAAGAAGAAAGAAAGTCTGAAAGGAAATAAAGAATCGGGGAAAGAATCGGGGAAAGAATTAAAGGAAGGATAATTAAGGATATTAAGAAATAATTCAGAAAAAAAGAAAGAAAGAAATAATTCGGAATGAAAGACACCATGCATATAGAGAAAGAAAAAAGAAAGTCAGCTTGCATGTACAGAAGAGATGTTGAAATGTGAAAATAAAGATTTTGCGATAAAGAATAATACATTACAGTACGATCAAAGATGGGTGTATTTTATACTGCCTCTACCATGATTCAACACTCTCTCTTTATATTCTCCTTTTCATATAACTGTATCAGTAGGCCTATAAATGCAGTCCTCTCCTAAATCCCCTCTCTTCTGAAACCTCGACTCTTTTGTCTTCCTACTTTCCTGCTCCCCACTTTGTTGAATTTATTAATTTATTTATTGTAAGATTGTAAGATTTTATTGACTCTATCGACCCCCTCTCGGGGTATGAGAGTACAAACATATTTACAACATAGTATCAATATAACAATAGTATAACAATGATAAACATGTGATAACATGAAATTGATAAACATAATAAGATAGTATAAACAAAGACAAACATGTGATAATATGAACAATGATAAACATTTGATAATATGAACAATAATAAACATGTGATAATATGAACAATGATAAACATGTGATAATATGAACAAATAAACATATTTACAAATCAAGGCGAACTGGGCAATTCACCCTCCTACCGCTACGAGTGTGCCTATCAACATTGCTTATTTGTGAGCTATCATTTGCAGTATTACCATCTACCCTTGAATCTTTTGAAAAATATGACATAATGATTCTAACAAATTTTGCTAATTTCTTTAGCTGGCAAGCGTGAGCTGTATTAAAAACCTTATCCATGTGCAACGCACTTGGTCTTAAGCTACTACCACACAAGTTATTTGGTATATACATTTTTCTTTCATTTTGAAAGAATGGACATACAAAAATATAATGAAATTCATCACCAATATCTGTTGGTGTACAGAGTGGGCATTGCAAATCATCTACTACATTTGCATCAAATCTACCTTTATTAACTGGTAATCTATGTGTTCTGCATCTAAATTTACTTAAAGTTATTGCTTCCTTCTGACATAATATCTGCAGGTATTTTTCATAAACCAACTCATTCTTAAACATCCTATAGTTCGTGCAAATACGATTTGACCAGGTAGCTGCGCTCCATTCCTGAATAGACATGTCAGAAAGCCTGGTTTTCATAGTATTCATAATCCAGGCAGCACTATATCCTTCTCCTTGAGCTCGCCAGACGTACCCAAGTCCTGCATAATCAAAACTGTCTGCAAGAAACTCGACCCATTGTGACTTTATATTAACTAAACTTTGTCCTTCACTTTGCAACTGCAACAAAAACTTAAAAAGAACTAATGAATACTTTGATTGCTTTCCTTTAACTAATCTAACCCAATATCCAATCATCCTACACTTAATTTTATCGAGTATTTTACCACGTCCAGTTTCACCATAAACCATGCAGTCAGGTGTGCACTTATTTACAAACAATATCGTTCTTAAAAATTTTCTTTGGAAAACTTCAAGTTGATCTATACACTCATAGCCCCAGACCTCAGCACCATATAATAGAAT